GCTCTGACTAGAATCATTCTTTCCCTAAGCCGTAGAGAATCTTCATGCGCAACTCTAGTCCCACTCCTCAGGATTTCCTGTTCAGACGCTACAATGCACAGTTTAGCATTTATTTAAAAACATACTACTTATAGTTATTGTTTCATGTTATAAGTCTCCTTTCCGAAGGAGACCCATCAAGATTACAAACGCCTTTATCCATCAGGACCTACTACTTCTGCAAACCCTTTCCATTCTTTCCCCACTTCTCTCCCCACCATTTCCTAAGTCAATACCAAACACATAACTGGTGCTTTGTTTCTGGAATTAAACATTCTGGAGACCTGCAAGAGAAAGGTGAGTTGAGGATACATTTAACACTTGTTTTCATTATGTCCTTCAGCTTTACTTTTAAGGGAAAAGAAGATGACTGTCATTTGACATGATCAACTGGAATGGAGGCAAATGCACCTTGTTTAAGAAGCAGGAAGAGTAGAGCAGCAGCAGAAAGCTTTTCTTATTTATCAGTAGTGAGTGCAAGGTATATGCTGTTTAGATTTTAAAATGTCTAAGAACTATATGGGTACATTTCTTTGTACTGCATCCGGGGAGCTTTTAGAACAGTGGGTACATTTAAAGAATATTTTAAAACACATTTTTAACAATCAGTTGAAATTCATTATGGCAGCATTAGAATCATTTTAAAATCATATTTTGTTGAAGTTATCTGGCTAGTTTAATGGAAGCGTTCAACTTTATCTGTTAAAATTTCTGGGAGCAACTGTGTACACCTTATTTTGGTGGTTTGTGAAGATAATATGAAGGTAAGGTGATATGGGAATTTTGAGAAGGAATCTTTTATTTTTAAGCATACTTGGAAATTTCTTGGCAAGGCAGTTTTACATAGTGATTAAGAGTGTGGGCTCTATAGTCCAGCTGCATAGTTCCAATGCTGATTACACCACTTCTTAGTCCTGTGAACTTGGACAGTTATCGTGTTATGCCTCAGTCTCTTCTGTATAGCGATGTTAATACTAAAGCCTTCCTCCTTGGATTGCTGTAATGATTAAATGAGTCTGTAAAGTGTTAAGAATAGTACCTGGTTCAGATTAGTAGTCAGTATATTTGAGTTATTAAAGAAAATGTTCATTTCCTTCAAGATAAGTGCATTTTCGCCCCCTCTTTTACAAGGGAATCATCAGGTGTATGAAATTTAGGTTATGACCCATAATAAAAATGAATTAGAAAAACTAGAGCCCTGAAACCACTTATTGCAATTCAATTTGCAAGTTGCAACCTACACTATGCAAGGAATGTATTTATGTTAAATGTTCAATTAGAAAAAAATTTCCTTCACATATACCTTCTATACAGAATTATTCTAGCTTTTTTCTTTTCTTTTCTTTCTTTTTTTTTTTTTAGATAATCTTCCTTTGAATAAATTTTAGAGCACTGATGTTTTTTAGATTTTAATATGGGCTCTCATTGAAAAATGACTGAGACAAGTTTTCTTAGTGCCTTCATCAAAAAGACAGAGAGGTTTCTCTCCTTACCATGATTGTCAGCAAGATTAATTGCCAGCAATAATAGTAGAAGAGTTAAAGCTGCAAATAGTAGGTCAGTTGTGTATATAGGAAGTATAAGGAGTTCAGTGTTGCTTAAGTATGACGTGTAATATCTGGAGAGACAGACAGGAGGTGAGCCTAACGGTTGTGGACTTTATCCTCTGAAGATGTGTAAAGTTAAACAGAACGTTCTTGAAATATATTGAGTGGAGATTGGAGCATAATTAATGACTGAGTGAAGAGCTGAATGAAGAGAGGTGCTGATGATGAAAGAGAAGAGAGGACCAGTGAAGGAATATTCTAACCTCAGGAGCTGTGAATCAGAAATACAGGTGGAGGGGCCTGCTCTGGATAATGAAAGATTTTGACAGGTTATGTTGAGAGCCCAGGTGAGATATGTAGTCACATCTTTCCAATGGCATTCACCCACAGTTTGTAACAGTCTGAAACTTCCTCTGTGTAAGAGTGGAGAAGGCAACAGTGGTATGAGGAGTTGCAGAGTAGATGTCTTGAGAGAATATGGTGGCTAGGAATTGAGTGATTAATTCATGTAATAGTCTAGACTGTAAATAGGCAAATTAGACTGGGGGGGAATTATAAGACTAAAGGAAATGGGAAGTAAAACACCTAGAATTTATAATGAAGATTAAAAGAGCACGTTTAGTATGAGATTTTGGAGACCTGTAGGTACCATAGTCAACATTTTAGAATGATAATAAAGATCATGTCGTGGCTAAATCAGGGTAGCAGTGAATGTTAGTGGGGACAGGAAGATCATGGAGCTGTAAAATTTATGATATTATCCATTTGGATGTTGAAGTCTACCAGGATGATAGAAATTGGGTTTGAGATATACATGCAGATATATTTGTGGGTTTGAGACCAGGAGTCAGATTTCAATGAAAGTGACAGTTTAGCTGTAGAGACAAAGATAATATCAATTGAAGTTACAGATGGTGATTGAAAAGCCAGATACTATTAATTCCAAACTTTTTGCATGGCAGAAGAGTAATAGGTGGAATCAGTAGTAACAGTGAATTCACAATTAATCCTTACAGTCTAATGGCATTTGCTGGACCTTCCTGTAAACTAGGAATATTTTACAGATGGTAAATCTAGGGCCCAGAGCAGGTATGCATCTTGCCCAAGGTGACACATACCTAGCTAGTAAATAGTGGAATTGGTACCCAAGCCCAGGTATCTTTGTACTATACTATACTACTCTACTTCTCTTGATCACTGGAACTAAAATTGTTCATTAATTCTTTTAATTTTCATAATTTGTATTGAAACTAGATTTTAGAGCCTTTGAATCTTCTTTTAAAATGGGATCATAATCGAACACACATTTTAGTATTTTTGATAGATAGCAAGTGATTTTTAATGTTCCTTTGTTACTATTTTTTTCCTTTTAAAATAATGAAGGATGGGCTATTTATTTCATTTATAGATTTTCTTGTCTATTTTCTTAACCTCACTGAATAACATAGATTCATTTCTGTTGTCTGCACTGGACTGTTAGAAACTTGCCTTTACAAAGTTTTTCCAGGGGCAGTTATTCTAATTGAAATAATTGGCCTTCTTACAAGAAGAAAAATATATCTCTAACTAACCCTGGGAATATGGGAATTCTTTACTTTGAGCGTTTAGCACCATTGTTCAGTTTTGAAGTCCAGCTGCTAATTGTTACTCTAGGCTGCATTCATCCTATTGGAACAGTGCAATTTCATATTTTTACCTCCCATTTACACTCAGAGAGAATTATAAACAGCAGTATCTCATTCTAAACAGTGAGCTACCCAGATTTTTCTAGGCTGATAAAATAAAAGCTAAAAAGATAAAGAGAAGAGCACAATAATTCTAATTTTCTGCATTAGAGTTAAATTATAATGGTTTGACTCCTTCTCTCCCACACTTGAAGAAACATATCTGTTAAATCTTAATTGGGAGATAGTACACTTTTTATTGGAGCTTTTGCTTTGTATAAGTAATTGTCACTTTTAAAGTAGTTTTTCTTTTTATATGATTTTGCTGTGAGAATGATGCAGTTAGCATCTGTTGTCATGGTACTGTAATGAAGCCTGCTAATAGTCTACCCTCTTTCACGGAGTAAGATTTTGGAAGCAAAGTAATTTTCAGAGATCTGAAAGTCTGCGTTGGATATATAAAAGGAGTTACCAGAATGACTAGCATAACCATTCTTATTTCTCATATCCTTAAAATGGTACTCCTGCCCCCTCCTCCACCCCTGTGCAGAATGTGCTGTGTTTTGTTTCTATTTGGAAAATGCTGAGAGAAAGAAAAACTAAATATGTGGAGGAGAGAAAAAACTTATCTGAATATTCTTCAAAATACTTTCCTTGTTGTTCCTCAAGTTTAAACTTCTTAAATATATACTATTTTGTAAAAATATTTTATCCCTTTGTGAATATTAAACTTAGAATATTGTGTTATTTAGTGTTGTGACTAAATAAGAAATAGAAAATAGAAAATCACTGATTTCTCTGAAGCTAAATATTATACTTTTAAGCTTTCATTCATTAAATTTATTGAGAAACTGGGACCTAGGTCCCAGCACTGTTGATTACTGTATGCACGTGTCACTTTTTAATATGGTTTTATAAATTCAGTTATCTTAAAAAGAAATATAGAAAACAAGAAAAAAATGTTTCATATTTACCTACATATTTGCCATTTCTGATGCTGATCTTTTTTTTTTTTTTTGATGATCTGAGATTCTATTTAGTGTCATTTTCATTTAGCCTAAAGAACTTTAATATTTATGGTAGTACAGGTCTAGTGGTAGTGAATTCTCTGAATTTTTGTTTATCAGAAAATACCATCTTCACTTTTGAAGAATATTTTTGCTGTATATGAAATTCTGGGTTGATAAGTTTTTATCATTCAATACTGTAAATATGCTATTTCTTTGTTTCCTAGTTTACATTATTTCTAATGAGAAGTCAGTGAAAATGTTTATCTGTGTTCCCTTATTTATATTTTTTGCTTTTTCCTTGGGTGCTATTAAGATTTTTTATTTATCACTTGTTTTAACTTATTGATTATGATATGTTTTTATTTTTCCCCTTATTTATCCCGTTTGGGATTTGTTTAACTCTCTGTATCTGTAAGTTATAGTTTTTATCAAAATTGGAAAATTTTTAGTCTTTATTTATCCTCTGAGACATACGTTAGAATGCTAGATACTGTTTCACAGGTCACTGAGTTTCTGCTATTTAAGTAAGTGCAGCCTGGGCCGTCCTAAATAATAACAAGATTAGTAGCAAGACATAGCAATTTTCTAGATTATTCTCTCATTAATTTAAGATTAGTGAAGTTGTAAAAAAATGCTTCAGTTTTTGTTATACCCTCTTGAATCAGATCCCATTATTATAAATCATGATGTAAATTGATATAGCTGTATTGTTAATCAACTGTATGCTTTTAACATTTCAGGAGCAGCATTTCTTGCTATTACAACCATCTATGCTGAGACTGGATCAGGTTTTGTAGTACCAAGTGCTTCTGCCAAAGCTGGCGTGGAAGCCATGAACAAGTGAGTACTTCTGTTTTAGCCCTATTGCCGAAGATAACAACTCAGGGAACTCAATTCAAGGAACAAGCTCAGGAACTAAATTTCTGCTTTCTGGTCTCCATCCAGAAAAAGATAAAGCAAAGACTAATTTGGATTCACCATGAAACAGATATTTTACCTCCTAGATAAGTCTTATTGGTCTATAGCAGCACTGTCCTAAAGAACTTTCTATAGTGATGGAAATGTTCAATAAATTCACACTATCCAATAGCCACATGTTGTCACTGAACCCTTGAAATGTCTCTACTGTGATTGAGAAACTAAAATTTAAAATTTAAATTAAACAGTCATATGTAGCCAGTGGTTACTTATTAACACCACATCTTTATTCTTTTTTTTACTGTTTTAAGATTAATGAAACTAGCACAGGCCATGAACACTGACTAAGTCTAGTGGCCTTTTCTCAGCAGAGTGTAATTACTTTTGACTTTGTTCTTCGTGGGCCTTTTACAGTGTCTGTGTTATAATGGAGGTTCTCATCATTGCTTGTCATAGAGGCTTACTGTAATAATCTTATATTTATCTGCTACCAATTCTCTTCCCACTTTATTTTTTATTCACATTCCCACCAGAATTATCTTTCTAAAATATACATAACTGTTCATGATGCTCCCTAGCTAAAAGCCTTAGATCACTTCCCATCATTCTTTGGAATAAAACCCAAAACCTCAGTATAGCATTCTAAGCAGATTTGTCCCTGGCCTTTGCTTACCAATTAATATACACAAATATTTATTGTGTGCCCTTTGTGTGCTATGTACCAGAGGTATGACAGTGATGGAAATAGAACTGTCCTCATCCTCAACTGATCTTTAATGTTTATACTATTCCATTCATTATTCTTGTGCTTTAATTTCCATATGTATGTATGTATTTATTTATTTATTAATATTTGCATCAGTGCTCAGCCTGTCGCCCAGGCTGGAGTGCAGTGGCATGATCACAGTGAGATTTCTGCCTTAACCTCCTGTGTTTATTTGATCTTTCTACCTCAGCCTCCTGAGTAGCTGGGACTACAGGTCTTCACCACTGTGCCTGGCTAATTTTTAAAATTTTTTTATAGGATGAGGTCTTGCTGTATTGCCTAGGCAGGTCTCAAACTTCTTGATTCAAGCAGTCCTCCTGCCTTAGCCTCCCAAAGTGCTGAGATTATAGGCATGAGCCACAACGCCCAGTCCCCAAAGTACTTTTTAATATTTAAATTAGTAATACACATTTTTTGAGATAGAAATATTACTTTATTCAGAAGTTGAATCTTAGTCTGAATAGAGGTAATACAATTTTTAAAGATGAGATGATATTTGAAATGGAGGATTGAAACTTGACTAGTTCAACAACATGTGTTTTTTTAGGACTGTTGAATCTCATTAGAGGTTTTGATTTCATGTCCTTTAAGAACTATGATCCCGGGCTGCTTTTCTTTGTGTTCCTGCATAGTGTTTTGCATGTAATAGTTGCTCAAAAAATAGGTGTCTTCCTTTATTGTTTGAGTTCCCATCAACCCTCCTTTCATACTTTGTAGTACACAGTCATACAAGATAAGGCTTTGTAGGTTCCCAAATGCCTCATGTTGTTTGTGCCTTTGTTACTTTACTTTGTTCTTTACTTTGGTCTTTACTGGTCCATATGCCTGGACTGCCTTCCTTTCTCCATCCTGCCCTCCTCCATCATCTCCCATCCCCTTCTCCTTCCCCCTACCTCTTGCAGCAAACTCCTGATCCTTCTTCAAGCATCAGCTCAAATAGTACTTCCTCAGGGAAGCCTTCCCTGTTATGCTGCTTGAAGAAAGAAGTATTCCAGTCTGTCGCCCAGGCTAGAGTGCAGTGGTATGATCATGGTGAGACTGCTGCTTAACCTCCTGGGTTCAGGTGATTCTTCCAACTCAGCCTCCGGAGTAGCTGGGACTACAGGCCTTCTAGTAATAATATTACATAATTCACAATCTAGTAATTACTTCATTATATGACCAAACTGACCTCTCTCTAGAGAGAAGGACTGCTCTTTTGAGAGCAGGGACTTTCTTTATTTGAGGCTAAACAATACTTATAGAGTGTTGACACATGGTAAGTACACAATAAACATTTGTTGAATGAACACAGTAGTGGCTAACATATATTGATTATATTGTACTTGACATCTTAACATGAAGAGCTAACTGTATGAGGTGGATTTCTTATATTGCAGTAGTTTTTCAGCATATCAGTTAGTGTAATGAGCATTGAAAGATTGTGCTAGCAATTGAACAAATTTATCTGGCATTCTTGAGACCAGAGATAGGATGGCTTTTCCTCTAGCTAGACTTTCTCAGTAGGTTGCTCAGTTTTTCACAGTATGATACAGACTCTGCTTGGTTCAGTGATTCTGTTAAGACATGAAGTTACTACTTCTGTAGCAATTTAGAGTAGGTATGCTACAAATACATGCCCATTATAGGTTTGGTCGTGAACTTTGTCAAAAGCATCACTCAGAAGCAATTTTTATGTGTGATTTGCCTGAAGGAGATGCGGCCTACCCATTTTTTAAAATGCATTCACGAATTAAGTCAGACTAAGAGCCTGTACTTGGATTACATGTTCCTTATCTAATAGAATTGGTTTTACTGAATTGGCCTTTGAAGTGATGCTCTAAGATTATATTAATTGATACCTTCTAGTTTCGTAAAACTTATCCCATTTTATCTATTGCAGGGATACAGTGACTTAAGGTCATTACTATATTACACAATTTTCCTTTTATAAGTCTTCTAGAAAGAAATGTTTTTCTGATTTTTGTATTAGAAGCAATTGTGCTTTTCCTGAGCAATTAGCTTGCTTTTCCTTTATGAGCACTGTGAATTGTGTAACTGGTTAAGCTTATTTGTGTGTGTCATGGAAAGAGGAGATACAAATTTGTTATGTGACTATTGCAATTATATGTAATTTCACAATACATTTAGAAGTTAGCTTCATTCTTGCTACATTTATATTTCCTTATGCTTGCTTCTTTCTCTTTCTTTTATCTTTCTTTCAAATTATCAAGTCTTCCTAATTTGCATTATTTGTTTTCTTTGAAGACACCTTAAGTCATTTTTTGAAACTAGATTAAATAAATAAATCAATAAATATATATATATGAATGTAAATTCCTAAAATAAACTTAGATTTAAAAAGCTAGACCTGTCTATCAAATCAGCTTTTAAAATAGATTGCTTCAAGTTTCTTTGTTTGCTGTTAGTATTATATTTTGCTTCAGAACATTAAGCAAGATTTTGTTAGATTCCTATTTCCTTTCAAGTTTAGTTAAACAATTATATTAAAGCATAGTTAAACATGGATGTGGTTAATATTTTAAATCTATGTAATCCATCTCTTTCTCAGTTATAACACTTGTCATGTTATAGGCATTGTAACCTAATGTGCAGGGCTATACGTAAAGTTATAATGAACTTTGTAACTGCAGGGTTGAACTCCAGAAAATGTGAGGGAAAGACATGAAGCCCTCACATTTTTATGTGAGTAATGAGTACATACTCTAAAAATGCATATTGATATTGTACTTCGTATCTCAAAATGGTAGATCATGTAACATAGTGATGAGGGGCACAAATCCTGGAGCTAGACCACTTGAGGTTGACAGATTAGCCATATGACAAAAAGAAAATGGCTTAACCTCTCTGAGCCTTAGTTACCTTATATATACCCAGGAACTAATAATAATACCTGTTGGAGTTGTAATCTCTGGCATGTAATAAACTTGCAGTGAGTCTGGTTATTCATGTTTTTAAACATATAGAATAATGTCTTAGAATGTATTGTTTATTTTCACTTTTAGGTCTCTTGCAGCTGAATGGGGTAAATATGGGATGCGATTCAATGTGATTCAACCAGGGCCTATAAAAACCAAAGTAAGTTGCAGCTTACTTATTATCACATTGTGAATGGCTAAAGAATGAAACAAGGGTAGTTGTATTCTGATTGTTGTATGAAGGACTTTCTTGGGATGCCTGGTTTTAGAGCCCTGGTTGTAGACAAGAGGCTTTTGCCATTAGCTAATATAAGATATAAGGATGTGAGCAGAATACAATAGTTATGCAACTTCTTGATAAGATCTGTTTCAATGCCTTAATCTTCTAGCATCTTTTATGCCATCAGTTTTGGAATTTTTTCTGACTTGCTATAATGATCTGTTATTGCCCTGTATGTCTTAGTTTTCACTATCTTTCAAATACTCTTTAACGTACTTTTTCTAAATCATGGAAATATAACTATATTTTTTAGTTTAATTGGTGCTCTAGAGATGTATCATACAGACTTGGTCTTGCTATAGGTAGCATTTACTTGGACTCCTGCCTCTGCCTTTTTACTCTCAGTTACTTATGCGTGTCATCTAAGTCCCACATTTCTCTGACTAAAAATACTTCTGATGGCCTAGATTTCACCTATAAGTAATAATCTTTGCAGATACTCATTGCAACTTGTAATTATCACTAATACTATTACATATGTTGCTCGGAGTGTCCACAGTTTCTCTGTTCTCTCACATTACCTGCAGGTAACTTCATTGTTACCCTTCTTTTTGTTTTCATGTAAAGCAACCAGGATGTAGTTTTGAAAGTCCAGCTGAAGTTTGATAATGTGCTTCAGTTGTATAAACACATTAGAAAATATTAACTAAGGAAAATTTAGGTTGTAGGTAGTTCTGGAGCATTAACTAACATGAAAATGGCCATATCCGTTTAGAGGTAGAAATTGTAAAGAAATTTCCAGAGTGAGTGGAACTTGAATGAATATTTTATTTATCTGATGCTTTAATAAGAAAAGTCTAACAAAATTAGTGGAAAAAATAACTCAAAAATATACATTAAATCACATGTTTCAGAGTGGCCCTGTTCTTAGCACTATCTGAAAAGAGTCCTGTAGCCACAGGAGCGTCTTTCTAGAACCCTAGTATCTAGGGAAAATAACCACATTTTATTTATTTATTTTGTATGTATGTATCAACTGCTCACTGTGTACAAGAATACTGAGAAAGATATAGAAACCCCTTTTGTGAAGAAGTTTATAGTCTTGCCATTGAGATATGAGTTGTACCCAAATAGTCTGTATTTAGTTTTAAAGAGATTAAAATAAAACTGAAGTGTAGAAGCACCCTAGCAAGCACTTATAGAACTGAGATTGGGACCAGTTGCTACTCATTGTTTCTTCTGCTTTATACTTGCCCAGGGAGAACTGGAGGGTTAAATGGAGCCTCCTGAGTGCTTGCTCAATCCCATATTACCTGCATTATTGAGGAAAGCTGTTACCTAGACTTCAATGCATCAACATAGGGCATTCCAGATGTTTTTATTAATCAGTGAGCATCCATGCTTCATCTTGGTCTGTTCTTTTACATCATTAACATAAAGCAGACATTGGGCAATTTAGTCATAGTTTTTCTCTCTCTGAGATCTACTTGAATTTCTATATACTTGTTTTCTCCCTTTCCTATTATTTTGGGAAGAAAGGAAGGGAAAAGGAATTTCCTCTTAAATATGTCCTACAAGTCACTTTTCTGTGTTTATTAAATGAAAAAGAGAATAATACTATTGCCTTCACATATTTCAGCATACTTATATACACTTTTTCATTTGATGCTTACAATTTTGTGAGGTAGCTAAGAGAGATATCCTCATTTTACAGAGAAGAAACTAAAGTAAAAAAGTTACATTACCTAGTGATCTGGTTTTTTTGGTCAAAGTTAGGCAAAATGACCTGTGTGGGGCTGAAGTGAAATGACCTGTTTGGGGCTAAAGCAGAAATCTTTATTACTTACGAAAGTTATGAAAGGGCTTCCATGATAGCATTCTATTTTATACAATTTTTTTCCTTAGGCAAGAAAGAGGATGTGTTAAGAAAATCCACAATTTAATTATTTTCTTATTTTCTAAGGGTGCCTTTAGCCGTCTCGACCCAACTGGAGACTTTGAGAAAGACATGATTGACAGAATTCCCTGTGGTCGGCTGGGGACTGTGGAAGAACTTGCAAATCTTGCTATTTTCCTTTGTAGTGATTATGCTTCTTGGATTAATGGAGCAGTAAGCATTGTTTATTTCTCTTGACTTTTTTCCAAGTGTGTGTCTGAGGTGGGGAGGTATATTATGGAACCAATCCTGACAATGCTGAATGTAAATACGATTTAAAATATTTATTTAGTTGTAAATAATATGTTTATCTATATATTATTGAGTCTATAGGATTTATTAATTGACTAATTAATTTTGTTAGATGCAAGTTACCGTGGTAGAAATGCTCTTAAGATGATCTTCAAGATTGGGCAGAATTTGAAACTGTGAGATTGTTAGAAATAGAATTCTAAACTGAGTAGATCAATTTAGGTTTAATCATGAATGTTGTCTTTAAAATTGGGGCTTCAAACGTGCCAGGGAGATATTCCATCAAATTAGGATGGAAAAATGGCTTACGGTTCAGAGACAGTTTAAATGGAGTAGTTTTAGAGCTTTTAATATTTTTTTCAGGTCATTCGATTTGATGGTGGAGAGGAAGCATTTATTTCGGGGGAATTCAACAGTCTAAGGAAGGTAATGTCATTTTGTGTGTAAAACGTAATAATAGTAGCTAGAATATTAAGCTTTAAAAGCATGCAAGAAACACATTAAATTGAAATCTTTCTTTGTGATAGGTCACCAAGGAGCAGTGGGATACCATAGAAGGACTCATCAGAAAGACAAAAGGCTCTTAAGACCACTCTGACCTTTATCTGGTGACAAATATGTCGGGGAATAGAAATGATACAAACAATCATCATTTGAGAATTTCATGTCTAATAAATTGTTAATTAACAGACATTCATTGAGTGTGTACTGTGTGCCAGGGCAGCAGTAGCTATTTTATATTCAAAGATGAATATGATGGGATAGCGTCCTTTCAAACTTTTTTTTTTTTAAACAAAGGGAGAGAGAGAGAAAGAGAGAGAGAATGGATGAAGGCTTTGATAGAGGTAAAAAGTGCTTAGAAGAACAGAGAAGGGAAGAGGTATGTGTGACCTGAAAATGAGAAGAAACGTAATGGTGGAAGTAGCATTTGAATTATTCTATGCCTTTAGTGATGGATCCTAAAAGAAAGAAGTTAGAGGAGTTACACTAAATTTGATAGACTCTACCTTTCCATTGGATTTGTGAATTATCTTCTTTAGATAGCTCAATATTAACTAAAACCTCAAATGTTTTCTAGGATCTATTTTGAAGTCAGGCATTTTATTTGGTACGAATAATCTACAACCTTTGCCCTCTTGAGGCTCATTATCTAGTAGGATTATTTATGATACATTATGACAAATATTCCAGCAGGATTAAAGTGGAGGAGGAAATCATTCATTCATCTCCAGTTTAGAGCAAGTGACTTACTTCTAGGAGACAGCATTCCATCTCAGCTTTAAAAGAATAGATATCAATGGGTAGAGATAATAAACAAAGCTTATAAAATATTTTTGTTTAATTTGATTTAATTTCATATTTGATTTGAATAATTTGTCATCCTAAGAATTAAATAAAAAATTCAAAGTCTAAAGTCTACCGACCTATAGTGGTTTTTTTTTTCTTTTTTATGGATTCAGAGGGATACCTATACAGTTTTATTACATGAATATACTATGACATGGTGAAGTTTAGACTTTTAATGTACACATCAGCTAAATCAGATCTATACTTTTGAGCCTGTATTTTTTTCTTTCTTTTATCTTTATTTTATTTTAAAGATGCGGAGTACAAGTCAGGATTAGGTACATAAGTGGTCTACGTGCGGGCCTTCCACTGGTCCTCACTTCCCCGGGTTTAGGATCAAACACCCTTAGTGATGTTATGCCCCTTCTACTTCCCCTGGCAGTGTCTGAGCCTGTATTTTTTTAAAGTTCATTTTTCTTTCACAGGAATCACTCACAACATGTTCACTATACTGATTTTTCGAATTACCCATATTGCCAGGAAAGCCTTCCCTCTTACCTTGTGTTAGTGGGTCTGCAAAGGAATCCGGTTTAGCTGTTTGAATAAATATTCCATAAGCCCATGTAGAAACCTTATTAAATCAATAATTAATCATGTACACAAATTACATTTATTACATCTAGTTATGTACATACAAGGTAATGTTATAGGTTTGGATTAAGTGACATTTCCAATTATACTGGCCTTTTTAGGATGTTACACTTTTTTCCCCACACTTTGCAATCTGAGTACACAAGTCTCCATTTTACCTTTAACACTAATGCTGGTTTTCTTCTCACTCATCCATATCTTTCTTTTTTTTTTTAATTATCAGTTCTTCTCATAATGTAAAAAAAAAAAGTGCCCTTATGTGTTTCATCAATTCTTATCTTTTCCTCCATAAAATATGGGATTATAATATCATAACAACAGGATTGTTATGAGGATTAAGTGAGATATAATAAGTAAAACCAATGTGAAATGTAAAACATACAAATGTTAAGACAAACAAATGAACCATCCTTTCTTTATCCTTTCATTTTAAAAACATGGTTATCATAGAAGATGTGAGACTACAAAATAATAGAAAAAAACTCACTAACTTCCTAAAGAAAACATCTGTAATACTTTGGTATATTTATTGGCAGTCTTTTGCATTTTTACTTAATTCTTACTTTTCATGAGGTAATTTGCATTTACAATTTGTGCAGTCAGAATCTACTGCAGTCCCTGTTCCACAGCTCACTTCTCTAGCAACTGTCTTCAAGTCTTTTAACTGTTTCTTTTTCTTCTAGAATATAAGTAAATTTGTAAAAGCAGCATACTTATTTTGCTATTTCTTGATTTTTTTTTTCAATTTTAGAAACTTTGTTGACTTTCATGAATGATGGTTTATCAGTTTTATTCCTTGTCCAAACCCACTTTCCACTTCCCACATACTAAACACACAGACAAAGACACACTCTTCCCCTTCACTAATTCTACCAATATGCCATATCCCTATTTTTGGTTCAACTGACATTAAATGTGTATATTTTCACAACTTTATAAATGTTATTTTTTCCACTGTTTTCTCAACCTCTCTTCTATCTTTTAAACTGTTCAGATTGTATGATAGATCATATTCTTTTAAATTAAAATAAATATTGATTTAAAAATAAATATATGTATGATAATTTATTTAATTCTTTGTTGGAATTAAGTTATTTGTATTTATATGTTTTCACGGTTTTTAATTTTTAACTTTTCTTAAGTATACTGCTGCCTTCCTTGCCAATACATTTTATTATTTATTTATTTCTCTTTTGAGGCAGGGTCTCACCCTGTCTCCAAAGCTGGAAGGCAGTGGTACGATCCTGGCTTACCACAGTCTCAAACTCCTGGGCTCAAGTGATCCTTCCACCTCAGCCTTCTGAGTAGCTGAGACTACTGGTACGTGCCACCACACCCAACTAATTTTTATATATTTTTGTAAAGATGAGGTCTCACTATTTGCCCAGGCTGGTCTCGAACTTCTGAGCTCAAATTTTCTCCTGTCTCAGACATTAGCCACCGCGCCAGCTGGATAAAAGTATTATTAATATTACTTCTGACTTACAAATCATAGCTGTATACATTTATAGAGTATGATGTGATATTTTGATGTTTGTATGTAATATGGAATGATTAAATCAAACTAATCAACATATCCATCACCTCTCTTACTTATTGGCTTTTATGGTGAGGCATCTGAAATTTACTTTTAGTTAATTTAAAACGTGCAATACATTATTATTAACTTTAATCTCCCTACTGTACAATAGATCTCAAGACCTATTCCTCCTATCTATCTAAAACATTGTACTCTGATCAACAATCCCCATCTTATCCTTGTCTACTGTTCCCAGCCACTGGTAACCATCATTCTACTTTCTGCTTCTAAGAGTTCAACTGTATTTGATTCTATGCATAAGTGAGATCGATTTTTTTTGTTTTTCGATAGTATAAATGAAACATTTTTATGCATGACACATTTTTATTTTGAATTTTTTCTCAGATTTTTGGAAGTAGATTTTTTTTTTTTTGAGTTGGAGTCTCACTCTGTCACCCAGACCGGAGTGCAGTGGCCGCTCCCGGCCACCATAGCCTCGACCTGGTGGGCTCTTTGCGATTCTTCCGCCTTAGCCTTCTGAGTAGCTGGAACTACAGGCGCGCGCTACCGCACCCGGCTCATTTTTGATTTATTGTGGAGATGAGGTCTCGCCAAGTTGCCCAGGCGGAAGTAGTATTATTAATTAAAGGTTATGAAGCTTTTAAAGTTCTTTGATACACATTTCCAAATCATTATTCTAAAGATTTATGTGGTTTTAAACTCTGCTGAGCAATGTGTGACAGTGGCAATTTCAATATATACCTGCCAACGATTAAAACTATTTACTAATTTTATGTGGAACAAATGATAACTCCTTTAAAATGTTTTTAATTATTAGTGAGATTTAATACTTTTTTATTTTGAAGACATGGGGAACAATTCAGGATTAGGTATATAAGTGGTCAGGGTACAGGTGAAGTTTGGGCCTCCCATTGGTCCTCACCTTGTCTGCTTTGGGATCAGGTATCCTTATTGATGTTATGTGCTCCCCTTTTCCCTCCTTCCCCTGGCAGTTTCCCGCTACTGCCAATCCCTTTCAATGTAGTATGATAAATGTTCAGGGTCCATTTGGAATGAGAACATGTGTTTGTTTCTGTGATAGATCACTGAGTATGATAGACTCTTAAATCCATCCAAATTGCTGTGAAATCCATAATTTTGTCCTTTTTGACTGGGTAATATTCTATCATGTATATGTACCACACTTTTTAAATCCACTTTCAATGGGCAGCACAATTGGTTCCATATTTTTACTACTGTGAATAGTGCTGCAATAAACATGCATGTGCAGGTATCTTTTTTGTAGAATGATTTGAGTTTCTCCAGGTATATTCCACTTGTGAATTTCTTGTTTGTCTTTTTACCTGTTAGTGTCTTAGTGGGGTACTGTTAAAAAAAAAAAAATTCTCACTGCATAGCTCACTGCAGCCTTGAACGCCTGGATTCTTGCAATTCTCCCGCCTCAACCTACCAAGTAGCTGAGACTACAGGTATGTGCCACCTAATTTATTTATTTTTATTATTTTCTAGAGACAGGGTCCTATTATGTTGCCCAGGCTGGTCTCGAATTCCTGGCCTTAAGTGATCCTTCTGCCTCAGCCTCCCAAAATGCTGTGGTCTAAAAACTTTGATTTGTATAATTTTGTATATAATTTTTTCTTCTATTAAAGAAAAATTTTTAAAAATAATTTCTTAGTCATTTCTTAGGGTTGGTACAATTATTATATGTTATTACAAATGGTAGAAGAGAGAACAAATCTTGCAAGCATGGCAGAGAGGATCAGTAACAACAGATCATGGAGATATCGACTAATAGGCATTTTTTTTTCTGTTTCTGAAAGAGAAACAAACATTATTGATGGTAATCACTGTACTCTATGAAAGACCACCTGTGAACTGTAACCACATCAATGTTTCACCTTAAGAATGAGTATTTTGTCATTCTACTTAGTACCTCCTATAAGAATCCTCCTCCTATTGCATTAGTCAAAAAGTTAATACTCAGTAAGTTAAAGTGAAGACTTTTGGTAACAATGTCACGCATCTTGCAATTAATATGTAAAAACACCTCCAGGAAATGCTTCATGTGTAGAGTGACAGTCAGGCTTCCTTACTGTTCTTATAGAAATGAAAGCAACAAGCGAGAATTTATTTATTTATTTATCTATTCATTCATTCATCCATTCATTCACTTAAAAGATGTGGGATACAATTCAGGATTAGGTATACAAATGGTCATTGTACAGGTAAAGTTTGGGCCTGACTTTGGTCCCCACTTCGCCTGGTTTGAGATCAGGTACCCTTATTGATGAAGTATGCCCCCTCCAACCCCGGCAGTGTCCCTTTACTGCCAATCCCTTTCTTATAGTATTTACTGATTATTGTGTAGGATCTGTTTATGAGTGAGAACATGTGGTACGCAGTTCTTTGTTTCTGTGATAGATCACTGAGTATTATAAACCCTAAATCCATCCAAATTGCTGTGAAGTTCAAAATTGTATCCTTTATGGCTGCTTAATATTCCATTGTGTATATTTTAAAAATCCAGTCTGCTTTCGATAGGCAGCGCAGTTGAGTCTGTGATTTTGCTATTGTGAATAGAGCTATAATAAACATGTGTATGCAGGTATCTTTTTTGTAGGATGATTTGAGTTCCTCTGGGTATATTCCTAGAAGAGGGTTTGCTGGGTCAGATGGAAGGTCAATTTGCAAGCCATAATTTATGTGACTATGAATAATAGAATTTTAGAGCTGGAAAAGCCTTGGAAAATACAAACTCTCAGTGTTTTTATCTTCCAGTTGAGGAAACTTCAGGGAAGTTATGACTTGCCCTAGGCTACACAATTATTCAAGCTCATGTCTCTTGCCCAGTTGGATGTTTCTTGAGATTATAACTTGCATTAAGAGATAGTAATAGGGTCTTTGTGAGATACTGTCATATTACAAAGGTCTTTAAGAAGGAAAACCCCATTAATTTATTAAATGTGTTCATTGAAATATGACTTTTAATAGTGCACAAATCTTGAATTATCACAAAAATGAATACATTCATGTAACCACTATCTGGTCCAGAAACAACATAACCAGGAATCCAGAAGCCTCCCTTCTGTCTCCTGTCACAACTCCCTTCTTCCTTCCTAAAACTAACCACTGTCTTTACTTTTTAACACCACAGTTAAACTGTTTTTGAAGTTTATGTAAACAGAATCACACAATATATATTATTCTGTACTGGCTTTTTTCTGTGTGGCACTTACTTATGCATTCTCATTTATTATATACTATTCCACAGAATATATGGTGTATATAAATATACCACAACTTATTTGTTAGTTCTGCTATTGGTGTGCGTTTAGGTTGTTTCTAGGTTGAGGTGATGCCAAATACAGAGTTGCTGTGAACATTCTTGTTCTTTTGGTGAAAATATGTACAGCTTTCTCTGTGAGATTTATAACAAGTGAAACTGGTGGGTTATAAGGTGTGCTTATGCCTACATTTAGTAGATGCTGACAAATGGCTTCCTAGAGTGTCCACAATTTAACCACTAAGCACTGTGTGAGAATTTCCACTGTGCCACATCCTCACCAGTGTTTAGCATTTTAACTCTCTTTACATTTAGGCTTTCTGATAAGCATATGGTGGTATCTATTTGTTTTAATTTGTATTTATTCTGATTACTCAAAAAAAGTTTATTACTTTGTATGTTTCACTGATTATCTTTTTGATATCCTTTTATAAAATGCTTGTTCAACTTTCTTACACATTTCTCTATTGGGTTATATTTTTTAAAATTGATTTTTAGGAGTGATGTTTATGTATTTTGGATATGTGCCTTTGTCAACTAAATGTGTTGCAACTATCTTCTACTCTGAAATTTGATTTTTTCACTCTCTTAACAGTGTCTCTCAGGTTTATTCCCAGTAGGGGGATTGCGGGGTCATATGGAAGGTCGATTTTTAGATATTTTAAGAATTGCCACACTGATTTCCACAGAGGCTATACTAGTTTACACTCCCACCAACAGTGTAGAAGTGCTCCCTTTTTGCCGCGTCCTCTCCAGTGTCCGTTGTTTTTTGAGTTATTGATGATGGCCATCCTGACTGGAGTTAGGTGGTATCTCAGTGTTTTTAATTTACATTTCTTTGGTGACTAGTGAGCCTGAGCATTTTTTCATGTATCTGTTGGCTGCTTGTATGTCTTCTTTTGAGAACTCTTCATATCTTTTGCCCACTTTGTAATAGGCTGTTTGCTTTTTTCTTTTCAGCATATTTTGGTTCCTTGTAGATCCTAGATTCTAGGCCTTTGTCAGAAATATAGTTGGAAAATATTTTTTCTTAGTTTGTGGACTGTCTCCCCATTCTCTTGATGATTTCTTTGGCTTTGCAGAAGCTTGTCAGTTTGATGAGGTCCCACTTGTCTATCTTATCTCTTATGGCATGGGCGCTTGGGGTTTTGATCAGGAATTTGTTGCCAGTTCCAATTTCCATAAGGGAGTCTCCTTCATTTTCTAAGGTTCTTATAGTTGTATATTTATCACAGCATTGTTCACAGTAGCAAGAACATCAAACCAGCTGTGCTGCCCATCAAGAGAGGACTGGATTAAAAAAATGTAGTAAGTATACTTGATGGATATTATGCAGCCATAAAGAAGAACAAAATCATGAACTTCACAGCAACCTGGATAGACTTAAAGCATATAATACTGAGTTATCTTTCACGAAACAAAGAACTGAGTGCCACATGTTCTCACTCATAAGTGGACCTTGAACAATTATTGTAATACTATAAGAAAAGGATTGGCAGTAGCTGGACACTGCCAGGAGGGGAATGGGAAAGCGGAATTGGCAGTAGTGGGATTCTGCCTGGGGAAGGGGGGGCCACACCTCATCAACAAGGGTACCTGCTTAATGAACATTTATATACCTAACCCTGAGTTGTACCCCACATCTTTAAAATTAAAAAAAGTTTTTTAAAGAAAAAAAAATCCAGTGTCTCATAAAAATTTATAGTGTCTTTTGTGAATAGAAATTCTTAATTTTAATAGAGTCCAATTTTCAATCTATTTCTTTTTAATTGGTTGTTAAAATATGTTCATGCATAAGGTATTGAAGATACTCTCTTATGTTATTGTACGCATACTTTTCAAACTTATATTGATAATAAACTTGGAATGAATTTTGTTTGTGGTGTTAGGTGGGCATTGTGACAGGACTCTTGTGTTTGCCCTTCCAGATTTATTTTTTCTTTTCTTCCCCCTGTTCTCTGCTCCAGGAAGCAGACTTGCAACTTATATGTGTGACTGATTTAGCTGAGGTGTTAAGAATTTATTTGCCAGATAGTGCTCAGGTGTTAAAGTCCACTATAATAGTCTTTGTGCTAGATTCATGACTATTACTACTAGAAGCCCTCTAGGAAAAGTTTTTAGAAATATTCTGATCATACTTTGTTTTTTTTTGTTTGTTTGTTTATTTTGTTTTTTCATGCTGTTATTGTAAGAATGTCAAACCTGGTAGGGTTTTGGTGTATGCCTGGGAGTGAACAGCTACTTTTCTGCAGATGAAATATATTCCTACAATTCATTCAGACATTTTTCATGAAGAAATGTTTAACTATGTCAGTTGTATAAAATGGGTATTTTGAGGTTTCTTTGTTTGTAAGTTCTAATGTTAAAGTCAACCCTTAATTCAATGAAGCATCTAATAATTCACTGGGTCAAGCTTACATTTATTTAGATTCCTTGGACCATAATAATTTGAACATGCTACATTTCTACCTGGGTTGATCTCGAATTGTGTATTAACTGACATTTTGTTTTTGTCTTTAAAACAATAGAAATTTATTTCTCACAGTTCTGGAGGTTGACAAGTCCAAGATAAAGGCGTTGGCAGATTTGGTGTCTGATGAGGATTCTCTTCCTGGTTTGCAGATGGCCACCTTATTGCTATGCTTACATGATAGGAAAGCTCTTACATCTCTTCCTTTTTGTTCTATTTTAATTTATTTATTAAGTCAGGTTCTCACTCTGTCACCTGTTACCCAAGCTGGAGTGCAGTAGAACAATCGCGGTTCACTGCAGCCTCAACCTCCTGGGCTCAGGCGATCCTCCCACCTCAATCTCCCCAGTAGTTGGGACTCTGACAAGTGCTACCATGCCTGGCTAATTTTTAAATTTTTTGCACAGACAAGGTCTCCCTTTGTTGTCCAGGGAGATCTCGAACTCCTGGACTCAAGCAATCCTCCTGTTGCAGCCTCACAAAGTGCTGAGATTACAGGCATGAATCATCACATGGGGCCTCTTTCTTTTTGTTTTTTGAGTTGGAGTCTCACTCTGTTACACAGGCTGAAGTGTAGTGGCACACTCACGGCCTCCCCAGCATCAACCTGCTGGGCTCTGGTGATCCTTCTCCCTCAGTCTTCCAAGTAGCCAGAACTACAAGCATATGCTACCACACCTGGCTGATTTTTGATTTTTATTGTAGATATGAGGTCTCACCAAGTTGCCAGGGCTGGTCTTGAACCCACGGGCTCAGGCAATCCACTTGCTTGGCCTCCCCAAATCCTGAGATCACATCGAACCCAGCCCTATTCCTCTTTTTTATAAGGGATTATTTCCATCACGAGAACCCTACTCTTGTGACTTTATCTCACCCTAATTACCTCCCAAAGGTACCACCATTAAACAGCATCACATTGGGGATCATAACTCCAATACAAAAACTGAAAGGGAACACAAGCATTTAGTGCATAGCATAAACTTTAGAGAGTCTCTTGTTAGCTGAATATCTTCTCAGTAGTATTTCTTTGTGTGTTGGGGGGGGATGTTTGGACAACATCATTGATTTTCAGATGGATTTCTGAGGGTCCCCAGGAGTCTGGGTGGGATGTATTGGGACCATCTGAGGGATAGGCCTAGATACAGGGTTTACAGCACCCAAGCTCCCCTTCAGCCTGAGAGATTGTCAGCTGACATTTTGAAGAAGGAACAAATACAAAAAGTTAAGGTTATTTTCTTCTTTATTTATTCTTAGTATTTAAATTCAGTCTAATGTCGGTGCTTCCATTTACACCCTAAAGGCAAAGCCAATCTAACACTCACTTACATCATTCGACAAATTTTAGTTTTTGGCAGAACTCTCTTCTGTGTATTCTTGAGGGAAAGAAATAGCTCACATTTTTGTTATTTTTATGACTTCAGAAAATAAGTGTTGAATTTATAGAATGGGGACATTCAAGCTGGCTCAGAACCATCATTAACTCTTAGGTAGTAACTGTGAATTTCACACAGACACATCTCTCATAGCTCCCTGATTCACAATCAAAGAATCCAAAATCACCAACCATGACAAGTCAACCCTAACCAGTATAGGATATTCTAGCTACAAATATGTGAAATTGTGACTTAGATGTGTGTTAAAGAATGTTTTAGAATCTTTCTATATAAGATAAATGATTAGCATTTCTCTTCAGATGTTATTTTTAACTCAATTGAAACTATTTGCAGATAGAAATAGAACTATTTTGATTGCTGATCTCAATATGAAATATAGAATCCACAGAATACACAAAAGTATTGATGATGCAACATTCAATCATCAGGATGCTATGAATTTTACATTAAAATTTAATTATGTAGTAAAAAATAGAATTATAGCTAGAAAAAAATATTTTCAGAGGCAGCACATAATCTCGGTGGAAATGAACAGTTCTACATAGAAAGAAAATCCAGGAAGTATGCAAACTAGACACCAGGGTATGCAGTATATTAAATTTAATCAGAGATTACACAGAATATGACATAAAACAGCAGCTTACTAGAATAGTTATAATCTGCAACATGTGAAAACAGTTTAGAAAATGGATCTAGGTCATATTCTCTGACAGTAGGCTTGTTGGAAATACAGGCATAGAATCAGACAAATTTGTGTGTCATCTGGTGCTCTCCTCCCTTGTCAACAAATCAACTTGAACCAATAGTTTTATATGGATTCAAGCAATAGACATTTTGTTGATTAATAAACTAAATTTTCTCTAGTGAGACTGTTAACTTCATAAAGCCACAATTAAATATTTATTGTTATTTTGGTGAGTATTTTAGAGGCAAAAGCATGTTCTTCCTAATAGTTGGAAATATAGCTCGGAAAGACTGTGGGACAGTCCTGTGATTGTCTAAAATAAGAATGCTTGGCTTGTCATGTATAATTCTCTTAATCAGTGACAAATATGCATTTATAAATCAGAGACTAGAATTTCAGAGATTAATCCTGATGGAATTTTTAGGGAAATCTTGTCCAACTATATTTATAGAAGAAGCAAGACTATGCTGTTTTTTTTTAAGTTGGATGGACTTACTGGTCTAAGCATAAACTTTCTCCTTTTCAATCATGTAGTTACAAAAACTGTACATTACAAACAGTGTAGAAACAAGATGAGAAGAATGAACCACACAACCTGGATAAGTATCTATATGCAGTTAAATTTACAGATATAAAAGAAAATACAGCCTACTCCCTTATAGTGCACAGTTACATTTTAGATACAATGTATCACTAGCAAGTGGCTGTAGACACCAACTCTAGTTGTCCCCAGCACAGAGAATAAGAGCAAGATCTGTTCGGTACAGCTTCCCTCCATCCGACAAAGCCATTATGCTCTTCTTGTATGTTGGAATGTTATTAATATCCAGTTCCTGCATAGAACATAAATGGCATTGTAATCTAGTTAAATATGGAAGTTAATTAAGCACTGTCAAGTGATAAAATGTGAGACAAAAACTGCTTGTTACATCAATCCATTAACAAAAGAGCTAGATTAAATTCTTACACAGATGTGAATAATCATAAGGTTGTTTTAAAAATCTATTTATCACAGTTACACTGATTTAGGCCATAACTAAATCGAGTTAAGAATTGAAATCTATTTCTGCTCCTATATAAATTTTTAAAGTAGGTTTCCAAAATGGATATGCAGTTGTTTCTAGTTGGATCCATAAAGTCTGCTTGAGAAGTAAGTGGCATTGTAACTAAATTACCTGTTTATTTTTCTCACACAGATCCTTCAGTAGAGCATCTAGTTCATTTTCATCTATGTATCCATTGCCATCCTGGTGGAGAAATAAAACAGTACACAACTAACTCCATCCACAGTAACAGAGAATGAATTAAAATGGAAATAATTGGAGTCCTCAGAAAATCTCCCAATTGCATACTTGGCAGATATTCTAATCTATTATGTCAGGCCTTCAACATTTTTAGCTATTCTAAAGTTGCAAAATATTAAAGGTCTGAGTTGCCTTTCATTCAACACATTGCGTTTGTAAAATACTTAGAACTTTTCAAAGTACTTTCACATTTAGTATTTCACTTTTTGTTATCAACATCATGTCCTGTTGAAGTTAGTAGTTATAAGTATGTACACAGGACAAATGAAAACTCTGAGGCTGGGGGAAGATATGTGGCATCATGTCACACCATGTGGTGGCAGAGTTCTACGTGAGCCCAGAGATTCAGGAATAAAAAATTAGATGACAAACTTTCCTCACACACACACACACACACACACACACACTGATGTTACCATCCACTAGGTGGGAGAACTTTGCTGAATATTTTCACCCAGCCTAATCCTCATTAAACCTAGCAATGTGGGTGTTATTATCTCTTGTTTACAAATGAAAAAATTGAGACTCAGAGGAGTTTGGTATTTGTTCAAAACTTCACAACAAGGTTTGTGTAATTTGGGACATACCATATTACTTTTTCTATGAAAATAATAAGTTGGTAGTATAATTTTAATAGTTCTTTTTTCCCCAAATTCTTCTCAAGAATCAAATTACAGATAAGAATGAAATTTTAAGGCATCAAAATAGGAAAGGAAGAAGTTAAATTGTCCCTGTTTGCAGATATAATGATTTTCATATATAGAAAACTCTAAAGACTCCACAAAAAAGTTAGAATTAATTTAAAAATTCTATAAAGTTTAAGAATACAAAATTAACATACAGTAACCAATTATTATTACAAATTATCTAAAAAGGAAATTTTAAAATCCCTTTACACTGGCATCAAAAAGAAAGAAATACTTGGAAATAAACTTAACTGAGGTAAAAGACTAAAACACCAAAAAATTTGAAACACTGATGAAAGAAGTTAACAAAGACACAAGCAAATTAAAAGGTATCCTGTGTTTGTGGATTAGAAGGGTTAATATAGTTAAAATGTCCATACTACTCAAAGAAATCTACAAATTCAATGCAATACCTTTCAAAATTCCAATGGCATTTTAAGAAAACATTCTGAAATTTATATGGAACCACAAAAGACCTCACATAGCCAAAACCAGGACAACAAATCTGGAGACATTACACTTTTTAATTTCAACATATATTATAAAGCTACAGTGATTAAAACAGTATAGTATTGGCATAAAGACAGACACATAGACTAATGGAACAGAATGGAGAACCCAGAAATCAGTCCGCATGTATATAGTCAACTGATCTTTGAAAAGGGTACCAAGTGGAAGGCTGAGGCGGAAGGATCGCTGGAGCCCAGCAGGTCGAGGCTGCGGTGGCTGGGAGTGGCCACTGCACTCCATCCAGGCTGGGCGATGGAGTAAGACTCCAACTCAAAAGAAAAAAAAAGAAAGAAAGAAAGAAAGAAAAGGGTGCCAAGGACACAAAATGGGACAAGGATAATTTCTTCAACAAATGGTGTTTGGTAAACTATATAGCCACATGTAAAAGAATGAAATGAGAGCCTGTCTTATACCATATAAAAAAATCAACTCAATACGTATTAAAGATTTAAATGTAAGGTTGGAAAATATAAAACTTCTAGAAGCAACCATTTGGAAACATTAAATGACATTGGTCTTAGCAGTAATTTCATGGATATAAAGTCACAAGCAATGGCACCAGAAGCAAAAGTAGGTAAGTGGAACAACATTAAACTAAAATGCTTCTGCACAGCAAAGGAAAACAATCAACAGAGTAAAAAAGCAGCCTATAGAATAGAATAATATATTTGCAAAGCACATATTACAAAGGAGTGAATTCCCAAAATATATAAAGAATTCCTATAACTGAATAGCAAAAAAAAATCTTATTAAAATTTGGGTTAACTATTTGAATAGACATTTCTCCAAAGAAGACATACAGTCGAAGGTATATGAAAAAATGCTCAATATCACTAATCATCAGAGAAATGCAAATTTAAATCATAATGAAACATCAACTCACAATAGTCAGAATGCTATTATCAAAAAGATGAAATATAAATATTGATGAGAAATGTAGAGGAATTGGAGTCCTTTTTCACTGTTGGTGGAAATATAAAATGGTACAGACACCATGAAAAACAGTATGAAGAGTCCTCAAGAAATTAAAAATAGAACCATATATGATCCAGCAATTCCACTTCTGGTTATTCACCCAAAATATTTGAAATCAGGATCTTGACGATATTAGTACTCCAATGTTCATTGCACCATTATTCACAAAAGCTAAGATGTGAAAACAACCTAAATGTTCATATGAAATATTATCAGCTTTAAATAAGAGGGAAATCCTACCAAATGTAACAACATTGATGAACCGTGAGGACATTATATCAAGTGAAATAAGCCAGCACAGAAGGACAAATATGTATGATTCCACTTATATGAGGTATCTAAAATAGTTTAACTCATGAAAACAGAGAGTTGAATGGTTGTTGTGAGAGCTAGAGGTGGGGAAATGGGGAGTCACTAATCCAAGGGCATAGAGTCTCAATGATACAAGATGAATACATTCTAAAGATCTGCTGTATCACATTGTCTCTATAGTCAACAATGCTATATTTTACACTTAAAAATTGCTAAAAGGGTAGATCTCATGTTAAGTGTTCTTATCACAATAAAAAGGAAAGAAAGAAAAAATAGAATGAACTCTTTACCTGATCATATAGCTCAAAAGCCTTGTTGAACTCTTTTCCACACATTTTGATTCCCTGAAGACATAGAAGAGCACAAACGTTAAAATGCTACTACTATATTTCAGTATGCTTCCCTTGATAAATCTCCCTCATTCTAACTTTTTAGGAAAATATCACTTAAGACAGAAAAAATGTTAAATACCTGAAATTTAAGAAGAAAATTCTCCTGTACTGGTAGTAACCTTTTGAGAGGAAAACATTATTTCATTACATTACATTTTTTTGAAAAGGACCAGCTTAATATAAGAACATTCTTATGGTTTCTAAACTCACCTGGCCATCTCAGTTAATTCCAGCTTCCCATCATTATTTGAATCAAATAGTTTCAGCTGAAAGACAGAATGTCATTATTCCAGTCACTTGAATGATTTATTGCACAGAGATGTTTAAAATAAAGCTGCTTGAGTTATCAATTACTTATATACACAGTAAAAATTTAGAAACTAGTATTTTTTAAAAAAAACGTTTAATGCAGATTTTCAATTTTATAATTGTGTAAGCTGCCAGAGTTTATCAGATCAGTATAAAATAGTCAAACAGCAATAATGGTCTTAGCTAGACTTCTGGAATATTATCATTCATTTTAATTGCAAATATGTTTGTATGTATATTGAGATGTGGGAAGGATAGTATCTGGCAATGTATGGCACTTCTAAAGTCTTTCCAAACAATGATATGAAAATAATATTTAATATGTTTCATTCACTTAGTGTATAAAATAGTACATACAGAAGCAGTAGACATAACAAATTCTTAGAAAATATAAAATTTGACTATTGTGAATTGTATTTTCTATTGGGTATTAAATACTCAATAAAGCTTCCCAACTCCCCGTTGCACTTACATGTACATTATATACCAAGACACTTCCAGACATAAACACACTCACACTCATGCTTGAGAAGGATTTGTGTTTCTGGAAAGTAGCAACTATTGCTATAATATGTTATAAAAGTACATATGATCTATAAATATATTAAATATATATACTAAACAAATACTAAATATGTTTTAAAAAAAGCATAATTTTTGTTTTTGAAGAAAGGAATGCAGCCAGGGTGATAATGAATACAACAGTTTTGGTGAGGTCTTTTTTAGGAGGAAAGGAAAGGCATTTTATGGTTTGAAATGTTCTAGGAATCTTGTAGGAGGTAGATTTTTCAGAGTCCTCTACTGACACAGCATTTGATAATCCATTGACCATAAATTCAAAAATTGTCACACTATCTACCAAGATGTTGGACAGTTAGATCACACAGTTTAGTGCCCATGGGGAGATATTTCCCTATATATATATTTAAATTTTAATTAGTTCTTGGTTAATTTGCTTCCTGGATTTGAACTGGTTTATGACATTTAATCAGATATGTCAGGCCAATCCCAACAGGGGGAAACTCCCATCTGAGTGGTTTTTGAAAGGCTGCTTCAAACTTCCACCTGGAAAAGGAGTCTTTTCTTAAAATAGGCATCCCTTAAGATTGGAACAAAATAGAAAATTAATAAATGTAGGCTATTGTCCATTTCCAAAAGTTATTCAGAGCTTAGATCTGCCCACTGTGACATACAGCAAGAAAGTCTCCTCATTTATCTATTATTATAAATGGAAATGTAATGAATTAAAGATCATCATGACAACCTTTTTGTTGTTTTGATATGAAAGATTAGTTCCACTTTATAATAAATAACACTGTTTTGTGATTAAGGCAATAGTGAAATTTTAGTATTTTTTTTCCAGATATAAGTAAGCCGAGAGAATGAAAGTAAACATCAGTTACATCAAATATAATCTAAATCTTTTAAAAATTGTTTTACAGGGTATATAAAAAGTCTAACTTCATCAATCTTAAGTAACATAACAGCTTTTATAACATACAGCTGTTTATGGTTTGTTTACTTAAGTCCATAGGGTGAGAATTCACAGTACTTTCACAGTACTAAAAGTATGTATCTCCTGGTAGTGCTAATAATGCAATGAGTCAAAATAAGCAAACATCACCCACATGAAACAAACTAACTTCATGGACATGAATTTATTTTATTTGGAATCTCATTAATTTATTTGCTTATTTTCCCCTGATACATTAAGCCAATGTGTGAAGCAGTTTCCTTGTCAATATTCTATAATAGATATTGGTTATAATATTTACCATAACATCAGAGTCTGGGTATGTTAAGGTTTCCTCATCCATAGCACCAATAAAATACCTCCATATAACAAAAATCAAAAGAAAGGCGACCCATTTTAGATAACTTAATAAAATAACTAAAAGGTCTCTTTAAATTCTAACAAAGTCTATGACCAAGCTGTGATAAAAATGGATTCAGAACCTCTATAAGTGTTTTTGATTATATAATTTATATATATATAATATAACATATAGGTATAAGTTATATAATTTAGTGATATAATTACACTGGCTTTGTGAGAACATCTTTTGATAGGTAAAAACTATATAGCTCTACAAGAAAAGAAATGCTCATATGTTAAGCCTTAAAGCCAATGTATACAGCACTCAGCATCACAAGCTATAAGCATCCATATTTCATTTTTCAAATGAAATGATACTTATGTGTATGTGATGCCTACATCACAGTTTATTTCATTCTGTGTAGTCTTAGGAATTAGCAAAAACACAGTACTATTTAATGATTTTTTGGTTTTAATCTTTTCAAGGTCAATCTTACCATTAGGTCTGTATACTCGGCTAATTTTGTGTCATCAACAACCTTGTTTGCTTTTTCTAACAGGTCCTTTAGAAAGTTCTGTTAAAACAAAGAACACTTAGATAAATTTCATCAATAATTATAATTTATTTCTATTTCAGCATGCCTTGAAACAGAACATACTAGGAAGGCAAAGAAAGTCTTTTTTTGAGGATAGAAGTAGGTGAGGAGAGAAAATAGAAGACAGACTAAACCAGGTGGTCCTCTTGGCCCTCCAGCAATGAAACCACCTTTAACAGGTACAATATCTGCTTTTTGCTGAGACCTGATCAGTTGTAGTCTGTCCTATACCATGAATATATTATTTCAATTAAATGAGTATCTGGATTGTGCATTGTGTGAGAATCTAAATAAAAATTTTTAAAACCAGCTAGCCCAATGACTGCATTTCTACTTACTGATGTCTTCACAAATATTCATGAGACTCTTCTGCAAGAAATATAAGGGCCTTTCTCTATATCTTTGAAACATGTTTGAAAAATTATCAGTAAACTAGATGGAGATCTACATCTAATTTCAAGTGTGTTTCCTGCCCTCACAGTCTGTATTTACAATATCAGTTTATAGCCAGTATGAAGCTCATTTCTCCAGAGGGCCAGTTGGTTAGTTATTGACTTGGCCCAGTCCAGAGCACTTTAGTTAAAATGTTTCAGCTGACTGCTCAAATTAAGACAGTTGGCCACAGATGATGTCACTGAATCCTTGAAGAATATATGAATCATATTAAAATAGAGATTAATGTGGGAAGAATGAAAAAAGATGATTATTAACTTGACAGTTGGAGCTTAGAAGTGAGTTAAATTTTTTTAACAGACATAAATCAAATAAAAACTTTACAATGGCTTGCCATATAAATGACAGTGTAAGCACTTAAGTATATAATAGTCTTTTATTTTCTCTAGTCCTGTTCATTTGCAACTCCTTTATTTTCTCAGCAAATGAATTAATGCAATTATGAAAACTTGAGCAGACACTGTGCCCAGATATTATTGAAGGATTAGATTTCTTTGGTTTGGCAGTGGTTTATTGCCCTCCCAAATGTACTAGTTCTTCTGGGCTGATTTGACATCAATTTTTTCAAGGAAGGAGACCTTTTTCTCCAAACATTCCACTTCAAATTCAAAGTAAAGCATGGAAAATTCAGAGCTATCTGGAGTTATCTGTTGGGGATGAATTTTATTTTTGAGCCTTATGAGGCTTTTGTCAGAGATTAATTGGGTTAAAAAGCCTCATCAGAGACTAAAATGGTGGTCACAAAAATAGCCTGGGAGAAACTTTGGGACGCTGAGATTCAAAGTCGTGTCTGAGAGCAAGTGATGTTTTACTCTATTACGATCTTAAAATTAGCTTTCTTGAAAGATCCATTAAAAAAAGAATGCCAACTTATCTTCAAGATTCCCCAGGGAAGAAGACTTCTATTTAGAATCTCTTTCTGAGAATAAAATTTAGAACAAAGAAGGAGACTTTGAGAATATTTTGAGGTCAGTTTTGGAAATGAGCTAAGATTTTCATTATGAACTTGAAATGGTGTCTAAAGTATTATTTTTGGTTCAATAGAATAAAAACGTAATAGCTTAACTGTCACCTTGTGGGTTGCTGAGCTGCAAGTTTGTAAAAGGCATTGTTTTTGGTGACTTCACATTAAAAATGTTTACATTTTCAAGACTGCAGTTGAATATGTTTTAGCAATTTTGCAGTGGTGCATATTTCCCTGCTCCATCTCTAAAGTTGTATGCTACTTGAGCAATGTTCAACTATGACTAGGAAACTTTGATATTAATATTCCTCCACATAGTAACAGAAGAGGTAGCTATTAAATGAAGCCTGAAAGCATGTGGTGTTGGGGGAGGGGAAGAGGAGACAGTATTAGCATTATTAGATATTCTAGGTCCAAATCTAGATTATCTTCCTAGGCAATTGTATAATCTTGAACAATCATCTAATCTCCATGTATTTCAGTCTTCTCTGTTTGTATACTGGGTGTAATAATAGCTGCCTTGCACATTTTCTGTGAGGATTTAAATGTTGAAATATATTTCAAGCACCTGGTACTCCACCTGCCATATAATAGGTACTAAGTAAATATTAGATCACTTCTCCTTTAATCACTCTATATTCTGAAGATAAAGAAAATAGAGTCTTTCAGACTGAGATGTCTTGGGGTCAGCTTGAGGAAATGAGATAAAGGATACTTCCTTGTTTCTGAAAGACTAGTAAATTGGGTTCATGAATAATATAATTTATTATGTCTTGCATGTAACAAAATCTTTCACGTGCAATATCTTACTTGAGTTTCACAATAAATCTGAGAGGAACATTTTATTACCCTCATTTGAAAAAGGAAAATATAAGAACAATATAGTGGTTGGCATGAGGTAAAACTTGATTTCAGATCTCTGCCCTTTCCTTTATATTCTCCTCTGTGAGACATGAATTGAGAAATTAATTTTCGAAGTTGCAGTTTTTCAAAAGCTTAACTATATAAAATTTTTTTTGTTACTGTTGTTGTTGAAAAGAAGTTAAGTTGTACAGAAATTCTAGGTGCCTTAGAGGCAAATTAGTTTGGATTTAAACATGGCAGCTGTGTCTTATTTCTGTGTAGTTTTCAGTATATCACTTAACTTCTCTCAATTCTTTTCCTTACTGGGGCAGTACTAATCTTATAGCACTCATGCAAAGATTAAATAAGAAAATGTGTGTAAAGTAGTTGACATACAGTAGTTATCCAATATTTTTTTCTTTTTGTTTCTTTAGTAAGGAAATCTATTTATGTAGGTGCTTATTTTGTTAAAATATCATTTCATTTTTAAAAAATAAAATAGATGGCTTATTTTGGCTTGTGTATAATTCTGTTTTTCTGTGTGTCTGTCTTATACAACAATTTGTATACACCACAGCAAATGCTAATTTCTTGTATTGTTGAACAGAATTTCAAGAAGCAGTTGAAGTATCTTTTTTTGATATGGCACTTCATTAATGATGTGGAAGAGTGGATGAAAAATATGCCATTGCTCAACATTGGTTTCTTTTGTGGAGAGGTTTTTAAAACTGCTATAAAGTCTTTAATAATCCATAATTGTATTTGAAAGAAAAACACAGCACACATTTTTATTTGCTTACCTTAAGCTCTTCAGTTTCTATGAAGCCACTGTGGTCAGTATCATACTTTCTCCATGTCTGTAAGTAATTTTGGATAAGGAAAACACATTTTGAATTTAAAAAGGCAACAATTTTCATACTTTTAGCAGCTTTCTTAAAGTGACAGCTTTCTTATACCTTCATGAATTCCTCACAGGATTTCAGCTGCTGGCATCGGAAGAGCAGCAGGAAATTCTCTTCCGTGGGTAATACATGAGCCAACTGGAAAAGATTTAAACAGAGAGAAATGTTCTTGAAAGGAGCTTGAAAACAAGTCTCTGCCATTACCTGCTGCTTCGATTTTCTTCAACATATTCCCTCAGAGCAGTTTTAGAGTCTAGAAAAAGTAGAAGAGGAAAAATATTAGCGTTGACTTTCCCTTTCTGGTACTTTGCTCCTACAAAGTGCCATGGTTTTTCCAAAGCTTGTGTGCCCTTGCCTGCTTGATTCTCTGGTTAGTGGCCACAGCAGGCTTGTGCTCAGATGGGACCAGTATGGCCACTCCTCGTTTGCTGGATACGCAACCCGGTGGTTTGAACCTTTCATGAGTTCTGTGCCACATACGAGGCCTAGCACCTCTCAGGGTCTGCTAAAGGCACACATGGGGATCATACATTTCATGAAATGAAAGAAACTGTGAGAAACATAAATGTAGGGTGAAAAAGGAAGGAAGAAAAATGCCTTTCCAAACCTGAGGAGAAAGCCTACTATGAGATACAAGGGAAGATAAACAGAAGACAATTTTAAGGCAGTGGAAAATGAATTTTCCATGAACAGTGGGAAAGTAAATAGCAATAGGAAAAGTCAGTTTTCAAATTGTTAGTTTCTACTGGGCATCCATTGCTTGAATTCAGCATTTAGGTTTATTTTTTGACCTCTGCTGCATGCTTCTATGACATTTCCCCTTGGATCTCATTTCATAACTTCAATACTTCTCTTTTTTTGGGAATAAAAAGGGTTCCAGATCCCATTTTATAGCTAACATAATCTATCTCTTGCATGCAGAGGAGGAGGGAGTTGGGTTGACAGCCCTACAGCAGACGTGAGATGTATTTCTGGCTTAGCTGCTAATCAGCTGTGGTCCCCAAAAACCTCACATCATTTTTGGACCACAGTATCCTCTTCACCAAAACAATAACTTGAAACAGAAACCAGTGTCTCTTTAATGCATTGGGTTCAAAACACCTTCTGTTGGAATCAGTGCATTTTCATCATTAAAGTATGAACCTACAAATACAATATTTCATTTGATTTCCAGGAGTTGATTAATTCCCTGAAGGATAGGCATTGACCCTCATCCTTGGATTTTAGTCCAAAAGTCTATAGTCTAGACCAACATTAAGGTCAGTATAAGTTCTAAAAGTTCTACCAAGTTATCATACCTTTTTTATTTTAAAAAAGTCATCCTTTTAGGTTCATTAAAATTTAATATAAAATGTATCATTCTACCTTATATGCAAGCAATCTCATCTTTCTTATGCCTGTATAATATGTTCTTTAGATTATCTTGTTTTTAGATCTTTGAAATAATATAACAAGTTAAAAGTGTTCAGTTGACAGGCACTACATGTGGGAGTGAGATTAAAGGAAAGAGCCAAACGTCTTATCAGGATGTTTAATATGACCCAATCAAAAAATTTTTTTAATTTATTTTGGAACAAAGGTGACTAGTGTAGGTAGATAATAATATAACTAAAGTGTGAAAATAGCAGTTTAGAATTTGGCAGTAATTAAAATGAAATCAGCTTTGGGTACTTAAACACATTTGCATCATTGCAGTGTGTGTGTGTGAGTGAGTGAGAGAGAGAGAGAGAGAGAGAGAGAGAGATTGTATGTGTGTGTGTTGGTATTATCCAGGTCTCTTATTAAACTCAGGATGCACTTCTGTGACCTTTGTATTCTTTGAATTCTTGAGTCATATAATTTTTTACCTTACAAATAAAGTCATTTAACTTAATTTAAAGCCCAAATTTTTCAGTTGAGGGTGTTAGAAACCAAAAAGGTTGAATGACTTGATCCGATGACTGGCAGACTTTGAAAATTACTTTAATTTGATGATTATTAATAAATTAAATTAGCAACATGTTTACTGAAGACAGTAGTAGAATTATTTGGTTGCTTTATTTACTCTTGGACTGGAAATAATGCATTTGTTAGTGATTTTTACATGTGACATCCAGATAGCCTGAACATGATTGTCTGTTTCCACTCACTGAAAATTAAAACATCATCTTCTCTATAGAGATTCTTTTCTTCATCATTTGTGAATGGGCTGCTAGTGGACAGTAGCTATAAATGACTTTTTTTACTAAAGTAGTCAGTGATTAGGTAAATCAGGCCAAGAAAGTGGGTATTCACACAAAGCTAAGTGGGGAAGAGGTAGAGAGAAGGGCAGTGGGTCAGCTAGGCTGGGAGAGGGTCTCTGGAGGAGTGAGAAGCAACCATGCCCCACAAGTCTTTTGTTGAGCCTCAACTAGCCTGTAATAATTCATTCCTGAGGGAGTTCTGGAGAATATTTCTTTGAGGACTTTAAAAGAGATGAGGCAGGGAGAAGGAATACATGAGGAGAGGGAAGGAACAAAAATGGAAGACCAAAAAAAAAAAAAAACACACATTAAAGAGGAAGAAAATATGGCAGAGGCAGACTTTTTAAGGAATGCATTGAGCAATGAAACTGGATGTTAAGTATACATTTTGGAATGTTCTGTGTGATACCAAATGTCTGCCTTTGGTATATCATGGTTTTACATTAACATAGACATTCATTTAGGAAATGGAAAATAGCCAATACCAACACTTTCTTTTTTTGTTGGTATATAACTTGTCAGATACTACTTCTTAAGTTTTTGGTGACCCTTCCCCTAGAACATTCATTGCAAGAAGGCAGAAACTATTTCTTGTTCATATCCTCTCAATGTCCTGCATGATGCCAGCATGCTATGTGCATGAAATAAATGCTTGGGGGTTGGTTAATAACTTTACTTCATTAAAAATGCCTACTTAACATAATTTCAATTTTAAAAATATCTTCATTGTAATTTTTCATTTTGTTTGAATTTTTACAATTAATGTGTGTTGCTTTGAAGAAAAAATAATTTTTCTTTAAAAAAACTGTATTTATCTAAGTGTACTGAATACATACAAATGAAAAAATAAACTAGTAAGCAATGACTGAATATAAAATTAAGGAAATTTAGTCACCTTTGTTCTATAAATTAAAGTTCATATAATTCAAAGGTCAGAGATCTTTAGAGTGTCAAATGTAGAGATGATAAAACTATTCTTCATGTCTATTGTAAATATATATTTCTTTGTACATACTGCTTTGGTCTTATATGTACTTCAGTTATTTTAAAAGTACATTTTACATCTATGTGTGACGTAGTCAATCTGTTTTAATTTCATTGAACTGTCACACTAACATGGTATCATTCTATTTTATAAATGTTAGAAATTAGTCTTGAACATGTAAAAGTTTATTGTAAGGTAAATGAATCATTTAAAAAAAGCATTCATTTGTGTTGGCTAGGATATAGTTACAGTGAACGTAAAGAAATCTTTCTTAAGGTATATTTCACAATGTGGTGGTCGTGTGTTGTCTGTGGGTCCTTTCGTCAGTGCATGTGAATCAATATTCACATTTCAGAGCTGGGCACAGTAATTCTCCAGCTGTAGCCTCTACTACCATGTATACAATGTGTCAAGGGTCTTTTATAGAAGGACTTAAGTAGAATTTCTTTATTTTCAGATTTCCTGAGCTCCTGCTGTCCATAGAAGTATTGGTGATTATTGGTGATTCCTTATTCTTTGGACTGTCTGCCCGCTCTTTTGTGAATTCTCAAAATCTTCGTATAATTAGAGAAGAGAGTAAAGAATATCAAGGGGATGAGTGAAAGGCAGATAGTTGTGGCCACAGCAAAATCCCTCAAAGCTTCACTTATGAGAACTGGTTGCTTCTCACTGAGAGCAGAGGGTAAAACCTTTCTACTTGTCTGTCTTCCCTATTGGTCTATTTGCTCCTTGAAGATAGAGTCTGTGTCTTATTTGCTGTTTCTTTGGCCAGCAAATGCACAAATTTTAGTAAATACTTTATTGAAGCAATGAATGAAAGCGATTACTATTTGTCTTAAGTCAGCATAGGCAGTGAACAAGTGGAAACAAAATTCCTCTGGAGGTAATCTAAACACCTAATTACTGAGTTGTGTATAGAAGTTGGGGTAGATACTGCCTTCCGGTGCTGGAAGTGTCGTTGTGGCCTCAGTTGTCAGGATTACCTGGGCTAAAGAAAGTTGTGTTCCCAAGGAGGCTGCATCCTGTGACGGATCCACATGGGAATATAAAGGCCTAGTCCTCTCACTGGAAGCTCGGGAAATCTCTGAAACCCTGGTCTCTTCACTTCCATTCCACAGGTATTGATCCCAAGAGCACTTCCTAGCAGACCTCCTTGTTGCTGTCATTGCTGCTCTTTCACTCAGATCTGCTTTCCAGGGAACTCTAGACATAATGGGTTTATCTATCTATCTATCTATCTATCTATCTATCTATCTATCTATCTATCTATCTATCTATCTAGAGACAGGGTCTTGCTCTATCTATCTATCTATCTATCTATCTATCTATCTATCTATCTATCTATCTATCTGTCTAGAGACAGGGTTTTGCTCTGTTACCCAGGCTGTAGGGTTGTGGTGCAACCATAGTTTACAGTAGCCTTGAACTCCTGGGATCAAGCAGGTAACTGAGACTACAGATACATGCTATCACACTTGGCTATTAAAAAAAATTTTTTTTGGTAGAGATTGGAGGAGGGTGGTCTCACCGTGTTGCCCAGGGTGGTCTCGAACTCCTGGCCTCAAGTGATCCTTCCACCTCAGTCTCCCAAAGTGCTGGAATCATAGGCATGAGCTACCGCGCCTGGCCTGTGGAAGTTTTTACAACTCTTTTCTTTCTAGCATAAAATGGAGCCTTTGCCTTATGTTTGGAGTAGGCTGAAATCTCTTGCTATAGCTCATTTTCCTACTAAATACTAGGCACTGTGCTGGTTACTGAGGACTCACAGTAACTGCTAATGTGAAGCTTAAAGGAAGGCAGATAATTTCAAACAATTTTTTTTCCTGACAATTTTAAAGCCGTAGATAAATACAGCGATAAAGCTAAGTAGTAAGTGTGAGGAGAGTATACATGAAGGGCAACTTCATTAGAGATATAAATGATGAGATAGATACTTTAAAGCCCACATGAGGCAGAATTCCTAACTGTTAAAGACAACCAAGGCAGATGTTAACATTCTTGAATGCATATTAGCCAAACATTCACTTTTTTCATTTGAGAGCCAGAGAAACATTTTCTCTAGCCAATGAGAAGTAAATTCAGGAAATGTGGAAGTCAAATAATGTCAAAAGTTTAAGGCTGTTTGAGCTTAATAATTTGAATTTGACAAATTATATAAGAAGTAAACAAAAAGGCTTGACATTTAGAAGGATGGTGTAGATTTCCCAAGAAGTTATTTCTATATTTGATAATAATAGTAAATGCATTTGTTGAGTTTTTACAGGGTATCAAGGCTTATCCATTTATTTGGCATGTATTGTCTCATTTGATATTGATACTCATAATAAGCTTATGAAGTTAAAACATTGTCATCCCTGAGGAAACAGAGGCTCAGAGAAGGCAAATGGCCTGCTTTCACATAGATTTCCCAAGAAGTTATTTCTATATTTGATAATAATAGTAAATGCATTTGTTGAGTTTTTACAGGGTATCAAGGCTTATCCACTTATTTGGCATGTATTATCTCATTTGATATTGATACTCATAATAAGCTTATGAAGTTAAAACATTGTCATCCCTGTTTACAGTCGAGGAAACAGGCTCAGAGAAGTCAAATGGCCTGCTTTCACATAGATTGTAGTTTGACACAGATTTGAAAGCAGGCAGTCTGAATTTATTGGTTTTCATTATTCTCCATTTAAAATTTCAATCAAAAAGTTATCTTAATAAATCATTTTTAAAAATCTGCCCAGAGTGAATTTTATAATCAAATTTCATTGTCAGTCATTTCCCCAAATTCTTAGTTGGAAAAGTATTCTGCCATGAAAAATTATATTCACAATGGCTCAATTCACAGACTCAAATCCCACTGAAAAGAAGGAAAGACTTGAGAAAGCACTTGCTTCCCTGGGAGGGTTGTTACAGTTTTAGGATTAAAATAGCTTTTAGATCTATTTTTCAGTGAATGCACTGACCTAGACAGATAGAAACAATAAGACTGGAGAGGATGGTAGGTTCTCATACATTGCCCAAGGGGTCAGGTAAAAAGCCTGTAGATTTGACATCCAGCTAGGAAACTTATTTATACTTCATGTGAGCACCAGGGAAGAAAATTTCATTATCTGCTAAATCATTCATTCTTTCTTTTAAATTATTTTAATTGGCCTGTTTTTGCAATAGAGCTGTTAGTCTGAATAGATTCAGAACATTTTTGACCTTCATGATATTTGTTAAATTACCTCAGAATTTCAATGCTCCTGTTTTGAGTTTGGATTAACAATCTCTTCATTACTAAACTATATTTGTGTGATTTAAAAAATTAATTTAGATATACGAAATTAGAAGGCTCAGAAAGAAGCATATCTGTGTGTTACTTTCCTTTACATGTTTCTAGGTAGGAAGTGCATGCAGTTGGGAAGTATCAGTCAACTTTATCAGGTCAGAACTTTGAAAATTAATCACTATATTTTCCAGCCTTTTCAATGACATGCTTCAGAGACAAACCAGTTTGGCCTGTTCTATCAGGCAAACATGGATACCATTTGGTTTACTTTGATTAGATTTTTAATGAGTATGACTATTAAGTGGGCATAAAATACAGGTAAATACAAGCTTTTTCTTTTGAACATCAAAGTTAAGGAATGCTTGATGTTAGTAGGTAGATTGTTATAAATGTTAGAAAATATGGGATTTTGCCTTCCTTTATAGCTGGCTGGGATTTGTGTACTTTTGTCATATTATTCTTAGGATTTCTAAGCAAGTGATGTCATATGTCAAATTGTGAAAAGAAAAGATTAACTTCATTTAATATGATTTTCTAGTTGAGCACATTTAAGTTCAGGCTTTTCCCACTGTCCTTTTCCCCATTTTCTGCATGTAATCTGTAACTTTCCATTTCTACTTAACAATTATTTTCAGAAGTTCTCTTTCCTTCACTCCTACTTAACCATCATAGACTGAATCAACACGCATATGAACTACTGAAGCAATCTCCTTCCTGTTCTCCCATTCTCTAATTCTCTTCCCCTCCCCCACTCTCATGTCTTGGCTGAAAACTGATAACTTAGATTAATAAAAAGAGTTCTGGAATTAGAGTCAGATCTAGGTCTGTACATAGATTTTTGTCACTCCCTGCCAATAGGATTTTGGACATATCATTCAACATTTCTGGGCTTCGGTTTTTTTCCTACTTATAAAATGAAGAATTGTGGTTAGTTCTTTCCAAAGGTCTCATCTAACAAAAAAGTTCCATGTCCCAGAACACTAAAATCTAACCAGTTTTTATGTGTCTTGCTTCTCTTCCTTAAACTCTTTCTGCTAGAGCTAACCTGAAAAGTTCTCAAGTTATGTTTCAAGTGCTTTGGCCAAATCACTTCTCTAAACAATAATTTGTGCATCTCTCCTCAACCTGGTTAAACGTAGAACTTGCCATAAGTAATCAACCAACTGAAGCTTGAAAATCTTTACTTTTAATGCAAAAAATGCACAGATTATTTATTATTTTAAAAAAAGAGGTAGTTAAGGGGAACATGACTGAATTCTGAATGTTACATCATTTATTTCTTGCTTTTTCTTTGACCTAAGGCAGATTCTATTGTATTGAAGTCCGGGTTCCCTAGCCATAAAATAGATCATCATTTTATATTTAGACTTACTTAATTTTATTTTTATAAGGATCAAATGAGATAACATATTTGAAAGCACTTTATAAATTGTATAATGCTATATGAATGTAAATTCTTTTTCTTATTATTATTACTATAAAGTTCCCCAGCTCTTTGTTTCAGCCTTCATTACCTTTTTCATCCTCTTCTGTTACACAAAAAACTTTTTCTTTCCTGTAACAGTTTCTATCTAAAACTCCTGGGAAAATTTCTTTCATCGAATCTCCAAGAAAATACATCTGCTAAGTGACGTTTAACCTCTTATTCAAATTAGATCTCAAATAGTAATCATAAATAATTATCATATATAATAAATATATAATAATCATATATAATAAAAGCTGGAGAATGAAAACATGTCCATCCATTTTGTCCTTTTAAAAGTAAAAAATCCATGTGAATCAGATCTCTGCATTTTACTGTACAACCTAGTATCACTGAATAAATGAAATAGAATAAATAGTTGAACCCATTGGAGTCCTTCAAGTTAAAATACATTAAATATAAGATGATAGACTTTCTTTTACTAGAATTATAAAGAATGCCAAATGCAGAAATGGCCAATCTATAATTTCGCTGATGTCATATTTTCAAACTAGTTTTGAATAATTAGATTTACCTCATCTAATTTCTGTTAATTTAAAAGTTATTTTCTTATCCTTGGTGATTTCATATCTTGATTAGTTGGCCTCTAAGTCAATCTGTATGTCCCATTACTATTATCTATTTATATAATAATGAGTTACACATAGGTAAAGGGGAAAGTGTATACTCCAGGGAAAAAACTTAATTACAAAGATAATAATAGTATGTCCTCCCTTAACTCTATTTGTAGTAGCTATTTAATCTAAGTGTATTTCACATTGGCATCACAAGTGTCCTGTAAGATCAATTATTTGAAAACCAGGTTAGTTCTCTGAGTCAAAGGCAAATTATGACTAAATGTTGTTAAGAGCCATAATACTTTAGAATACTTTACAATTTAATACACCGAGAACATTATATGAAGAACATCATTATGCTTGTGGTTTCGCATATTTAAAAATATAGCTATTAATTTTTCCGTAAAAAAGTCTTTCATCCAATTTTTCTAATAGGTTGTAGAGATAAAGAAAGAAGACGAGATACAAGAGTCTAGAAACATTGAAGTTAAAGGAAGCTATAGCTCTTCCATAAATCTGAGAAGGCAGAAGAATTGATGCATAATCAAAGTTTTGCTTCCTTGATTTACAGACAGAAATAAGTTATCCTTAATAAGAAAGTCATTGTCAAAAGATAAGACTTGACACCCACTGTTTTAACTTTCAGAGACTCATAAGAAATCTTCTCCTATAACAGATCATAAAATATTCACTCACTTTAGTGAAATTCTCGTGTTTTTACTAAGGTCAAGTGTCAATCTAAAATTGAATTTCAGAAACCAGGATGAAGCTTTTTTTTGCCATGAAAAAATAAGGGCTACAAATATTTCATAGGGACTGCAAATATTTTAAAAGAGAAGTCTGCATCGTTAAATGACAAGAAACACCAATGAATCATGTACTTGGACATTTTATTGACGTGAGGCTGGGTAATGTAAGGTATGGATATTCATCCAGAAGTCAGTTATTCCTCTAACTGCACCTGTGCCAGCAAACAGCTGCATAAACATAGGCAAACCATTGCATTTCTCTGGGGTCTCAATTTTCTAGTGCATTAAATGTAGGCTCTGCGTTAGGCAAACTCCTAGGTCTTTTTCATTTCTAAACATTTTGTGGTTTTATATTTCTTTACGGAAGATAACATATTAGGGAGATAAGTTAAGCCTTTCTGAATGGGTCTTAACATATCATGATTGACTTGGATAAAACTTCAGAAGTGAAGCTTATTTATTAAAATTAAATCAGAAAAATGCAACTTTTCTTACCTCCACAATTCCTATTTTTCCATCATCTCTCTGCCCATACTGATCCACAAAAGTTTTCATTTCAGGTGATAACTCCTAAAATTATATAAAGCAGATAAGACGTTTGTAAAATGAAACAAAACAAAACAAAAACCAAAAAAACCAAAACCCAATTATGTTTGTGCTGGTTTACTTTAAAGAAAAACCCAAATGGAAAACATTTAGAATTTGCATACTGATTAAATACTTTTATAAAAATTAAAGGCATTACTGATGCACAGTATCTATTAGTTCCAAACGAAAGAGTTATAATTATGATTATCATTTTTTAATCAATCACTATGATTTATCTTCTATTATTAGTTTTGAGATTATGTTAGCTTTTGAAAGTGTAATCAGAATCATTTCATTCACAACTTTTAGTGAATTTAAATATAATAATCACTGTTAATATACTTTAAATGGGATTAGAGTACAGAGACTACCTATGGGGCACAATGTTCAAATGTATATATTTGTGCCCCACAAATATATATATTTATATGTGCTATAAAAATATATATAACTATATATATAAAGTATATATATACTTTAAACATTGCTTGTTTTGCTAAATATTATTTTATATTGCTGCATTATCTTGTGCTATAACATTTTTCTATTTCTAATGTAACATTTTATCCATAGAAGGTAGTAATATGTGTTTTAAGTTTGGACAAGCAAAAGATGTAAATGTTTAAGAGTCACTCACTTTGTAAGCAAAGATTGTTTCCCGTATGAAAAAGGCATTAATTAATTAAATAAATTAAAAATTAAATAGATTAGAGATCTGTGAACTATAAACTAGTGATTTGAACATACAACTGGTATTCAGGAAGTTTAAATTTTACCCTTGGGTCTCCAACATAGTCCATTTAAAATAGCCCTGTTGCATTAACTGAAGCCTGTTTAAAATAGGTCAGCCCTTACTAATGTCCTAGTCTATGTCCTTGGGAAAGCAAATTAAGGTCTCAATTTTTTATCATAACTAACGAGATGGTGGTATTTTCTACCATACTAGTTTGCTTTAGGAATAGGTAAGTTAATATAATTTAAGGGTTATTTTGAGGCTAAATATCACTACTACTAATATTTACAAAATCTTTTGGAACCAATGTAAATATCTTTAATAGAACTAAGGCAAAACATAGTAACAGAACAATTTAATTGTATTTTAGTTTTTTAAAACAACTTTTTCCACTATGCATAAATTGCAATTTGTATTTATAAAATTTTGTAACATTGTAAAAAAAATGAAAGTGTCTACATCATGGCAATACTGGGAATATTGGTCCCTATATTTTTTATATATACCTTAAGTAAACAAAAGACACAGCATTTGCATTTAAATCTTAAAACAGTGTAATACCGCTTGCTTAACTAGCAGACTTGACAGTTTGTGAACTTTCTGACAATTGCATCCAAATCTATTTTTTAAACAGTGCAAAATATATAATTATTATTATCAATTAAAATTTTATAAAAAAGAATGCAAAGTTTAAGACTAAGTACGATGTTTAGTGTAAAAGGGTAGATTCTGGGAATATATTGCATTGTTATATTTCATTTATGTTATATTTACTTGATAAACTTTTTGAAATTTAATGTTATTATTATGAAAAACCAAACAATGTTTTCATTAATGCAATAAAATCTGTTATCCTATGACTGGAAATGCAAAGAAATCTGGCTTATAACATCAATCTTTGTGCTCTAAAAAAGAGAAGAAAGATATAAAAGTAGGCTTACTGCCATAAGGTAGATAGTATAGTGAAACGTGTCCAGTATATGCACCTCTCAATCTAGTTCTTGATTTAGATTTTAAGTATCTAAAGTCTATGCACACAATCCAGAAAAATACTCAAGAGTTAAGATATTAAGCAACTTGATATGATCATACACCTTCATTCAAATTTAGTATTATTGGATTATAGTCTAATAATTGGAGCTTCAAATATTCCAAAACTGAACCCTAATCAGTAGAAAAAAAAAAAAATTAAGCTCTAAAATTCCAGAATGAAGTCATTGATTACAAAAAAGATAAAATATTAAAATGGGAGGGGGAAAAGAAAAATACTAAAAAAATATAGAGTTCATGAATATCTAAATTTTCAATATGAAAATAAAGCTCAATATGAAAATATATCTCTGTAACAAATTAAAATAAACTGATTTGCTGCTGGAAGCATCTTCTAAGGTTTTAATTCTAAATTTCATAGAAAGTAAGAATTTTCCAACCATATATTTTTAATATATTGTTTTAAATGAGGAAGAAAATTGTTTTTTGTTTTTGTTTTATTCGTCAAAGATAATAGATATAAAGTTATAATGATAATATTCCATAAATGTATTTACATGACAGTACAAAGATGGGATAGAGTGATGAGTATATAAAACATAGATTCCATTCTGCTATATTTTTAGATTCATATAATATCAAATCTGGGTAAAGCAATTCCTAAAGCACAAGATGGCTTAAAATCAATTTGGTCAATGATTTTAGCAACTGATAGTTCTGTAATGCATTATAATACATTAAAAGCACTCTGATATTCTTTTGAATATGTTGTATAGAAATGTGTATATATACAATTTTCCATTTAGATTCAAAAATGATAAACTTTTATTAAATTTTATACATATCACTCAATATTAGTGGTGTGATCTGCTATATGATATATACAGGTATATGTACATCATGGGTAATGTAACACTTCTTTCTAAAAGTCAAAAAGGCCAAAGACCATTAACATTGTACTAGTCCAAATCCAGCACTGCCTTCTGAAAGGCAGTCTTACATAAACCTCAATAGAGTAGTAAAATTCTTAACCTATTTTTCTCTATACAACCATCTCATCCATTTTTAAAAGCTGGTTATATTTTATTCTTATGCTGATAACATCTTTTATTAACAGGCTAATTTATGCCCAATGAAAATTATTTATAATTAATAAGAATTGTCATTTGTTTAATTAACTAACAGCTGAAATCACAAACATGGTTTATTTTCAAAACACCTTTCATTGCTTCCCATGTGTATCACTTTGCTTTTTTTTACAATACATAACATTTTTAACATTTTTTAACTTTTTGATTTTTTAACTTTTGGGTTTGCCCCTTCAGCAAAAATGAAGATCTTTTCTTGATAAATTCTTGCTCACTATTATGTTGTGAGTTGGGCAACTATCCCTCAGTGAGGAGGGTCAAGACGGGATGTTTTCTCATCCCAGCGACATCATCACAACAATAATTGGCGATAGAATAAGAGATCCATAATCTGCAGATCTGTTTCTTGACCACCAAGGGGCAGAAATGTATTTCTACCCCTTTACTTCTCACACAGTAAAACAGAAGTTAAAATTTACCTTATGGAACTCAATGGTAGAGGTGGTGAACTGTTAAAGGATTTCACACACCCACACTTTCTTTTTAAGAGCTATTAAAGCAAGTTCTAGTATAGAATGTTTATGTTGTAAAGCTCCGCTTTCAGATTATAACGTTTTTCCCTTTAGGAAATCTCTGTCTCCTTCTCCCTCTCCCTCTTTCTCTCCTTCTCCCTCTCCCTCTCATTCTCTCTTCCCCCTTCTTCCCTCTCCCTCTTCCTCTCACCTCCCTTCCCCCTCCTTCCCTCTCCCTCTCATCTCCCTTCCCCTTCCTTTCCTCTCCCTCTTCCTCTCATCTCCCTTCCCCCTCCTTCCCTCTCCCTCTCATCTCCCTTCCCCCTCCTTCCCTCTCCCTCTTCCTCTCATCTTCCACCCCCCACCTTGTCTCTCTCCCCCCCCCCTCTCGCTCTCTCGCTCTTTCGCTCTCTCTTTCCACCTTTTCCTTTCTCCCTGCGCAATATGGAAAGGTGTTCTCCCTCTGGCCTTTCTCAATCAAGAACATTTACCTTTCTCCAGGAAGAACTTGACCTTGCTAATTTTCAATGAAAACACAATAATATTTTTATTTGGGGGTTGAAGGTCTTTTTTCTCCCTCACAAACTTGAACCTACCAATCCAGCCTTCTTTCGCGCCTGCTGGAGCTCCTGGATCAAGTTCTGCAGCTCCTTTCCTTCCAGGTAACCACTTCCTGCAAAGACAAAGAGGCACCCAGGTGTCAGATATCTCATTTCGAGCGTCTTCCCGGTTCACTTTCCAAGACAGTTATCTTTCTAGCGACCCGAGAGGCTCTCTTGCCTGGATATTTGATTAACCAACAAAGGGCACGGACGCGGCGGCGCTCCTCTCCAGGGGTGCCAAACTTTAGATCCACTGAGGACAAAGGAGGGTGGCTGGAGTGCTGAGCGCAGCCATAGAAACTTTGGGGAGCAAGGCCCCCCAATCCCTGCGCTCCCTTTCCTTCTATCACTACCGTTCCTGGAAAGACAAAAGTTTAAGGTTTGGGGATGACATGGAGGCAATATAAACTTTCAGGGTGACGGTTCGGCAGCCAGTAGGGGAGATATGAGTCAGAAAGGGAAAGAAGTAAAGGTTAGAAAGGAGAAATAATGGGGTCAGAAGGCTCAGGGGAGGGCAAAGAACGGGAAAGGGCATGGAAAGGGGTCTTGAAACAGTTAAAAGAGAGAGAAGATAATCACCATCAGCGTCGAAATGCAGCCAGATCTCGAAAAACTGTGAGGCTGTGATCAGGGATGATTGCAGATGGGATTCTGCCATTGTACAGCGGGGTGTGTGTCTGGGCGTGTAGATGTGTCGGTACGAGAGCGGGGTGAGCGAGAACACCAGCGTGCGCGCGGGTCTGGGCTGCGGAGCGAGACCTGGGCGCGGGCGCTGCAAACGCTGTCCTCGGTGCTGATCTGCTCGCGCGCTCCTCCGGAGTTCTCTCCCTGCACCCCGCACCCAGTTCTCAGTATTTATCCTGACGGCCCCAAGCCGGGCCACGCCTCCTCCAGCCTCCCATCCCTCACTCCCCGCCTCTTGCTCTCACCAACCACCTTCCCCTCCCTTCCAGTTTTCTCCTCTCTTCGTAGGAAAGCTAGCTGGAGCACGAGTTTTGACGTGTAGGAAGCAGCAGGTGGTGGGAGATCCTTCTGCGCCCACATTCTCCTAGTCCAGGAAAAGTCTTATTCCTAATGTTATAGTAAAGCTGCTGCTATAATATATATAATTAATAATATATAATTATGTGTGTGATTTTTTTCAAGACTTTTCAGTATTTGAACAAAATCTGATTTTTTATTTGTTTAATGTATACAATGAATTGATTGATATCAACAATCACCCTCTTTTGTGCTTGTGAAGACCATCATATGAATGCTTCCTAAAATGGTTTATAGGAACTAACCCTGCCAGCATGATTATTTTTTGTGTCAGCTTGAAGTAAAATTTTCATTGGTACATGATAGAAGTAATATCAAATCTTAAAATGTCAGAGAAATAAGTGATCTTAGAGAAACTATAGCTTACTACCTTTGAATTTACAGTGAGTAAACTAAAACAAAGAGAAAGGATCTGGTCCAAGTTCATACGTACATAAGTTAATGACCCAGTCACAATCCCATTTAGTGACCTTTAGACACATAACTCTGCCGGCGCGGGGGCTCAAGCCTGTAATCACAGCACTCTGGGAGGCCGGAGTGAAGAGATTGCCTGAGCTGACGAGTTTGAGAACAGCCTGGGCAAATTGGCCAGCTCTCATTTCTGCAATAAATCAAAAATTAGCCGGGCGCGATAGGGCGCGCCTATGGTTCTGGCTACTTGGAAGGCTGAGGCGGAAGGATCGCCTGAGCCCAGCAGGTCGACGCGGGGGTTGCCATAAGCGTGCTACTGCACTCCCGTCTGGGAGACTCCAGTTGGAGTGAGACTACAACTCAAAACAAAACAAAAAAACGGACACACAACTCTCCTTCTTTCTTTGTCAAGCAATCCCTGCTAGAGAATTTTCAGAAAATGAAAGTCACTCTCAGAATTGGGGGAAAAAACACCTAACTAAACATGTGCTGTGTGTGCATTTTATTTAATACAATAAATGACATATTTAGATTATTTATTATTCACATAAATACTTCTAAAGTATTGGTTTTGAGTCTTTTGGACTTTTAGGTTCACTAAAAATGTATCCCAAGTGACTGATTACAATGGCACAAAAACAAAATGAAGGAACAAGAAAAATTCTAAACACAGTCAATAAAACCTAAAGTGAATTAAAGTGAATTCATCAAGCTCTATGTTTTTACCTTTGTGACATTGAGTATAAGAACACTCAAATTTATGTTTTGGAGACTATGGCTCTATCTAGTAGTAGATTTGTGGAACTTTTTATGAGTATTTTTTTTCAAAGACTCAACAATTTGAAGCTGGCCTGTTTCAATAATCTTCTCAATAGTCTTCACATTTCATTGTACTTTACAGTTCATACATCATGTTTACTTCATTTGTCTTATCTGACTCTCACATTTAGTCTCAGAAGTTGATATGCAGAGCAATACTATCATTCTTATTTTATATAAGAGATAAACTAGAATTTGAGATGTTAACTATATTCTTTGACTGATTAGGAATTACTTAAATGTCCAGTTATTTGTACTTTCATGGAACATTTAGCACCTATTATATTAAGCACTCTGTTACACACTGGACAGAATGAAATAAAAGACGTGGTTCCTGCCTTCTTGAAGCTTAGACTTACAGGGCTACAGTCACATAAAAAAAAAAACAAACAAAAAAACCCCACAACAGTACATATTGATAATGGAAGTATGAACAAGCTATTTTGTGCTCATGAACCTAATTTTTTAGCATGTGTAGGAGCTGAAGCTTAAGTTATCTAAGTTTCCTTCTCACAAAGTAAACTTTATTTCATGGTAGGCACTTTTGGTTATAAGGACAAATGGTGTTGGAAATGAAAGACCAATAGCTTGAGCAAATTCATCCTAACTTCTGGAAAACTAATTCTAAAAAAGGTCCGGTTAGTCATCACATTAGTGGCCAGGATCTTTGTGTGAAAAATATGGTGTGTGAACTTGGAGGCTAATGCTAGAGGATAAACTTTGAAGAGACGGTGAGAAAGCAGTGATTAAGGAATGATTTGAAGAAACACTCTGACGCTTGTTAGTCCTGACAGAGCTAACAACGTCTCGTCTTTGGATATAATTCTGAGACAAAGAAAAATGCCAGAAAAAAATATGAAGGAACATGGATCTAACATGATGATGGATAGATAATTAACATTATTATGTTAATTAAAAATAATTATGGCTAATTTCCATCCTGAAGAAAAACCACACGTGGTGGTACAAATTCCAAAATACTTCCACCATAACTCTTTTTAAAAGAATTTTGTTTTAAATTTCAAAAATGTCACAATTTTTAAAAGTTAAATATTTATATGAAAAAGCAACCCCCTAGCCGGGCTTGGTATCTCAGCCTGTTATCCCACGCTTTTGGGAGGCTGAGGTGAGTGAATTGCTTGAGCCCGCGGGTTGGAGACCCGCCTGGGCAGCGAGACCTCATCTCTACAATAAATTAAAAAATCAGCCGGGCATGGTGGCGCATGCCTGTAATTCTGGCTACTCGGAAGGCTGAGGCGGAAGGATCGCAGGAGCTCCGGAGGCCGAGGCTGCTGTGGCCGGGAGCGCCCACTGCACTCCAGTCTGGGCGAAAGAGTGAGACTCCAACTCGGGGAAAAAGAAAAAAAAGAAAAAAAGAAAAAGCAACCCCTTTCTCATTTTACTTTTCGGAAGCTATGCCCACTTCAGAGGTCCCTGTAGGAATGTGTAGGTATTGTGACTTGAAGGGAGTTGAGAAAGGAACAGGAGACTTTCTAGGAGGTGTGGGCAAATAGCACATTCTTTTTGTTTCTTTTTATGGTTATATGAAGTGACTTTTAAAGGAACTCATGTAGAGTATGGAGATCTAAAACACTTTTAAAAATCACCTCTTAGGGCTGCCACCACTGTGAGATAATCGATATTAAAAACTCTGTGCTTATGCAAACATAACAAATCCACATGTATAGCTTTTTTGTTGTTATTTGGTTTTACAGAAAAGTGCTAATGTTCTGTATATTACCCTCCAACTTTTTATTATTAATTCAAGAACATCCATCTAGTATTAACATCATCTCATTCATACTTTTTAATAGTTGAATCATATTTTATTTTATTGATTAGCCAAAATTATAGACATCCAGGTTATTTCTAGTATCTTATCTTAACATGAAATTTTTATTCCTTAGGTATTTTTAATAGCAAAAATACACATAAAAACTATTTTTCTATGAAACTGTTACTGGTTTCAGACTATCACCTCAAATCAATATCTATTCTCAGACAGATTTTGGCCATTTCTAGATTAAATTCTACTCTATGGTGCTAGTAAAGAACTGTGTGCCCCAGTTCTATGGATTTGAAGTCATTTGAGAAATAGTTCTCCTTTCTGCCCCCAAGTTCTTTAGTTTATTAACACTTCTTAAGTGTTTGGGTATCTTTAATTCTAGGATTCTGGGAAAATTACAGATACTTTCAATAATGAGATTTTTCCATAAGATTAAAGTTTCTAAAAACAGCATTGCAAACAAAGCATTTTTATGACTTGCTTTGTAGGCCTCATTACCCAACATTAAGGTGAATGAGTTCATAATCTAATATTACCATAAAAGTAGAAGCAATTTATGCAAAAAAACAAAAAACAAACAAACAAAAAAAACAAACCTCTGGGGTAATTAAACCACATTTCCAATTTCATGTTACTGAATTGCCACACCACCATTCATATTCAGGTTACCACAGTTCTAATTCACTATGCAAATTGAAAGACTTAGAGAATCTCAGGTTTAATGAGTGCTAACTTAACCTCCATTCAGAAAAGAAAATTTCCCCCACATATTTTACTATGGGTTTAATTGCATAGGGAATATAATGTACCACTGTCTCTGGCAACTTAGTACCTCACTGAGGTGTCTTTAAAAGATGAATTAAGCTTTATGGGAGAAGTTCATGTTTTAACCAACTAGTGTTCTCTGAAAGATCCCTCATCAGCATGATCTTGCCATTTGATGTGATTTTCCCAAGGACTGAAGGATTTGCACAGATTTAGTAAGAGAACTCTTTTCTGGGCTGGCTAGGTAAGATGGGAAGCATATATTTTACATTCTGGGTGCCACAAATGTTTATTTAAAAACTGACCAGTATATCTCATATGAGGGATAGTAGAAAGTCTTGGAAAAAATGACATGTGGCAAACTGTGAATGGAAATAGAAAAGTTTGACTTGAAAGACTTGGAGAAGTTACCTGCAAATACTTGCGAGGGTTACATAAGAAGAGGGCGCAGACTTTCTCTGAGGCTCCAGAGGTAGATTTACTGCCCTTTAAACAGACTCAGATTTGAGCTCTTTTGCATAGATGGGCACTACTGCATGAGTGGTACAATTCTTCCACAAAAATATGCATTGACTACAGTATATTATTCAATGTACTACAGTGGTGAACAAGACAGAGTCTCTGCCCTCATGGGCTTATAGTTTATTAGGGCAGAATGTAGAATTGGAGGCCAGCTGTGCAGAGGGTTGTGGAGGGGACACTATACCCATAATATGCAATTCTCCAGCCATAAAACACCTATATATTTTAAGTATGTCTTTGCTCATATTATCTTTTTTGGAGAAATTTGCTTTTCTTCCTTCTTCAGCATATTTCTTTTGGAGTACTATCTAGACTTACCGAGGTATAGGTCATGCCTGGTGGTTGTATTTTGGCGTCTAACCACGAGATAAGACTTCTGTCTGTAGAGTAACTTTGAGTAGTTTACTATTCTCTGTCTTTTCTGAGTGGCCTCTTAACTGAACTGTGCAGTTATTTATAAAGTAGTTTTAAGGGTCCAGCTAAAAG